CCTCTGTATGTTAATTTCTGTATCTGTGGAAAGGAGAAAGGGAATGAGCTAACCAAGGGTGATTGTCACAATAGTCTTTTTTCTGATTATGAAAAAACAGTCTGTCATGGGAAATGAGAGGAACAGAGTACGATTGGTTCCCCTCCCCCCAATCTCTTTTCAGTTAGCCACGGGGGCTTGCTGTAGTCAAGCCATGCATAAGAAAAAAAAAAAAGACGTTTATTCCTCTCTACAAAATTTGAGGCAAGAGAAAGACCTCCAGCATGAGAAAGAAATAGAAGTATTGATCCTATTTGACAGGGATTGCTACAAAAACTGGAGAGCAGGGGCAGCTGGGTGGCGCAGTGAATAGAGCTCTGGCCTTGGAGTCAGGAGAACGTGAGTTCAAATCCAGTCTCAGACACATGACAATTAACTATCTATGTGACCCTGGGCAAGTCACTTAACCCTGATTGCCTCACCAAAAAAACAAACAAACAAAAAACAAAAACTGGAGAACAAAATGGCAGAAATTTGGTGTTTGGACCAGAGGTTCTTCACCTTGTTTGTGTCATGGAGGCCTCTGGTAGTCTACTCAAGTCTATGGATCCCTTTTCAGAATAAAGTTCATAAATGCATAAAATAAAATATGTAGGATTACAAAGGAATCCAATTAAATTGAAATGAAGTTATCAAAATATCACAAAGATAAGTTCATGGACTCCAGGTTAAGATCCCCTGCTTTAGACTAACAGCTTATACCACTTCACAATAAGTTCCGAAGAATATATAATCTAAATAGCAAAGATTATTCCATAAGAAAACAAGAAAAGAAACAGATCAGGACCCTTTCATAGCTATGATTAGGGGGTGAATTCCTGTTTTTTAAGTTTTTTTTAATTTAATTTTTTTCTTCAATGAGCAAGCATTCATTTTCCCTCTCCTATCTTCCTCCACCAACTGAAAAGAAATATAAAACTCCTGTATCATATAAACACAATTAGGCACAGCATATTCTCACAATGATCAAGTCCAAAAATACATTTCTCATTCTCCATATTAGTCCATTATCTGTCATGGGGTGGGCAAGATGTTCTTTTTCAGTCCTCTGGAATCATGGTTGATATTTCAGTTGATCAGAGCTTTTAGGTCTTTCAGAGTTGTTCATTTTTATAATATTGATGTTACAAATGGTTCTGGTTCTGCTTCAGTCTCTATCAGTTCATACAAACCTTCAAATGTTTCTTTGAAATAAGCTTTTTCCTAATTCCATTACATTTGTAAACTGCAATTTGCTACCCAATTCCCCAACTGATAGGCATCCTCTTAGTTTTCTTTTGCCACAAAAAGTTGCTCTATTTTTGCACAAATTGGTCCTTTTCCTCTTCTTTTTTCTGCACTTAATAGTATTTTATTTTTTCCAATTACATGTAAGGATAGTTTTCAATATTCACTTCTATAAGATTTTTAATTCCAATTTTTTCTCTCTCCCTCCCCTCCCCCCTTTTCAAGATGGCATGCAATCTGATATAGGCTATACATGTAAAATCCTATTAGACATATTTCCACATTAGTCACATTGTGAAGGAAGAATCAGAACAAAAGAGAAAAACCACAAGAACTGAATTTCCTTCCATCCTATTCCCCCCCATTTATTTGATTCTCTCTCTCCTTCCACCCTGTCCCTCCTTAAAAGTGTTTTGCTTCTGACTACCCCCTCTCCCAATCTGCCCTCTCTTCTATCACACCGTCTCCTTCTTTTATCTCCTTCCCCTCCTACTTTGCTTTGGGTAAAATAGATTTCTACACCCAATGTGTGTGTTATTCCTTCTTTGAGCCAATTCTGATGACAGTAAGGTTCACTTGTTCCCTTTAACCTCCCCCCTCTTCCCCTTCACTATAAAAGCTTTTCCTTGCCTCTTTTATGTGAGATAGTTTACCTAGGGGGTGAATTCTTAAGTAAAGAAAGAATATAGATGATTTGAAAAAAAATAGATCATTTCAATTACATGAAATTGAAAAGCTTTGCATAAACAAAATTAATCCAACTAGGAGAAGTTAAAGAAGGTCAACTAGGGAAAGTTTTCTATCAAAAATCTCTGATAAAGGTCTGATATCCAAGATAAATAAGCAACTAACAGGAAAATATAAGACCAAAAACCATTCCTTGATAGATAAATTATCAAAGACTATGTACAATTTTCAAGAGAATTGCAAACAATCACCAAATAAGGGAATGTTTCCAAATGACTGGTAATAAGATAAATGCAAATCAAAACAAATCTGAGGCTTTACCTGACTTCAAGCAAATTGGCAAAGATGCCAAAAGATGTAAATAGTCAATGTTAGAAGGCTTGCGGGAAGAATGAGAATGCTAATGTTCTCTTAGTAGAGCTATGAATTGGTCTAAACATTCTGGAACCAATTTGGAATGACGCAAATAAAATGAGTAAAACATCCATACCCTTTGATAAAGAAATACCACAGTGAGGCACAAACCCCAAGGAAGTCAGTGATGGAAGAAGAGGCCCCATATACACCAAAATATTTATAACAGTACTTTTTATTGTAGCAAAGAACTAAAAACAAAGTAGATGCTCATCAATTGAAAAACAAGTTGTGGTCTATGAATATAGAGAAATATTACTGTGTTATAAAGAATAATGAATATGATGAATAAGAAAAATACGGGAAGCCTTCCATGAATTGTTGTAAAGTGAAGTAAATAGAACCAAGAAAATAATATACACAACTACAATGTTCTTTCTAAACAGAAAGGACAATAAAGCAAATGAAGCCAAATGCTGTGAAATTATAATTACCAAGCTTGGTTCCAAAGACATCTAATGAGAAGATACCTTCCCCACTTCTTTGCAGAGATGGGAGACTATGAACATGGAACACTGTAGAAAATATCAGACTCTTCTCAAATGTCAAATTGTTGTTTTTTTCTCTTTTATTATTTGTTACAAGGGATGGCTCTCCCAGAGGGAAAAGGAGAATACATTGGGAGAAAGTAAATGATATAAAAACAGAAGATACCAAAAAAATTTTATTTTTTAAAAAACTAGAAGTGTTAAAAAGGCATTTTTTTCCCTCAGATAAGATTAAGTAATTAATTTAAGGCTTTTAAACCACAACTATAGAAGCACAAGGTACGAGGTGTCCTTAGACAGCTATGAACAAACAAAGCCCAGGTAAGTTAAAACCTTCTTCAGGAAGATCAGAATTAGAATAAGCAGCAAAGGAAAAAAAAAGAATGTGAAGTTGAGAGAGGTGGTACTTAACTTGTACCTAGGTGTTTATATTTGTTTTTAAAATTCAACAGTTGTTCTGTATTGTATTCTGACATATTTGTCATGGCATTGTTACTAATTAGTGAGTAGGTAAATAATTTATACTATTCCTTTGATAAAGAGTTCTTTTTAATAGCTGAATCGTAATCTGCGCTAGAGGCAGCATGTTGTAACAAAACAAGCCCTAGCCTTTGAATCATGGGAGTTGTGTTCACGTTCCACATCTGACATTTACTAACCATCAAACGTATCGTTACCTCATCTGTGAAATAAGGATTATAATACTTGCATTATCTAATGGAGTTATCATGAGAAAATCATTTTATAAACCTTAATGTGTATTATGATTATTATGCACCTATCTGGTGTCTCATTTATAGTTTCCTTTGTTGGATTAGCATCCGTCTCCCACCCCATAACCACAAACATCCACAAGACCTAGTCTCAGGCTTTCTTCTTTTCCCTCTCTGTAACTCTCCTTTGGTGATAGCATCTGCTCCCATGTGCCAAATTACCATTTCTATGTAGATGACACCCAAATATATATTAGCCCTAATTTCTTTCTTGAACTTGAATACCCTCATCACCACTGCCCATTAAACATTTCTGCCTGGAGGTCCCATAGGTAGCTCAGACTCAACATTTCCTGTTAGGGGCGGTCGGCCCTAGACGCCTGAGCGGATAGGAACCTCCCTGGGAGTGAGAGCCCCCAATCCCAGAAAGACACGGCTCCCTACACGGGGTACGTGTAAGGATGGGATTGGGCGAGACTCTTTGCTCCATACAGGTGGCAGGTTTCGCCCTCGGGGCTGATTGGGGTGGCCACCCGGAAGACAGACCCTATATAGACCAACGCCCCAGCTTGCTCGGGGGATTCCTCCGCAATTAATAAAACATATGCCTCCCGAAGCAGTGTCTGACTGAGTCCCTGCCCGCCATCCCCCGGGGAGGGAATCCAGAGACGTCCGAAGCGGAACCCACCGAGAGGAGCTCGCTCGGGGTCCGGCAATAAAACCGGACAATTTCCTAAATAGAACTCACCTACATCAGGCTTTACACTTAATAAATATTTGTTCAACTGAATGGAATCCATGCTAATTAAGCTAATGTATGGATTAGTTTAATTGCTTGGCCTATGGGCTTAAATCCAAGAAACAACCATTCTATTACTAATAGATGCTGGAAATGAGGGCAGGCCATTTAGGAGGAAGGAGAAAAGAAGGGAATAAGTATTTATATAGCACCTACTATATGCCAGGCACTGTGCTAAGTGCTTTAAAAAACAAAAGACAAATATTATTTCATTTGATTCTCATAACAACCTTGTGAGGTAGGTGCTGTTATTATCTCCATTTTACAGTTGAGGAAACTGAGACCCACAGCAGTTAAGTGACTTGCGCAGGGTCTGAGGCCAAATTTGAGCTTAGGTCTTCCTGACTCCAGACACAGCACTCTAATTGCAAAGCAATTAGCTACCCCAAGAAGGAAATAGTCTGGAAAACCAGACCTGGTAAGTTTCAGAAGTATTACAATCACTTAAATTGGCAGATTCAACACAATTCAAAGGAGGGTCAAAACTTATAGGTGCAGATAAGACCACCAGTGGCCATCTTCCAAGGGAGCACCTAGAATAGGTGCAAATGAGCAAATAAGATTTTCTCACCCCAAATTTTAATAACATCACAATTTTTCTCTGGAACATAGGGAAAAAGAAGTATCACTCACGGTTAGACATCCATTGAGGATTCTCCGGCAAGAATTTCTTGCATCTCTCACCCCTTCCTGAAGAGGCTGTTCTACCTGGGTAAAGCACTGGTCCACATCCCTCTCCAGCAACTGTATTCTCTCTTCCACAAATCTCCGAAGGCTGCTCAAGTGAAGGTATTCATTCTGGACAGCAGAAACCACAAGAGATGTTACCTCACAGCCCCAAGAGAAAGCAACAGCAGTCTCCTATCCAGGGCATCCCCTCCTGGCTAATCAACAAAGCCATAACTAGGTCCTGGTGCCTTAGAAAAATGAGGACAACAATATCTAGGGGCCTTCTCCCTTTACATGGCAGTCTTCCGTCCCTAGCCTTCAAAGGCCCCCATCACCCCATTATGTTTATCTGACCACCCTGCTCCCTTATCTGACTCCAGGCCACCAGGCCCTGGGGGTCTATCATCATGGGGCCCTTTCCCAAGGCCCACATTCCCGTACTACCACATCCTCGGCCTATTGACACCTTCCCTCTCCACCTCCTCATGTTGTTGCAGGAGTTAGGATTATCACAGGGGTCAAGGCTGTACCCAACTAGAGAGGAATATGGTCTCCACCCCATCTCATCCCCTCAACCGAATTTGTCCTAGCCATAAATTTTCCTAGCTATGGATCTGCTAATCAACAGTTACTCTCAAAAAGATCTTGGTATTTTAATGGACTACAAGCTCAGCATGAGTGAACAGTGTGATGTGATAGCCAAAAACAAAAAAACCCCACTAGGGTCTTGGAATACATTGACCCATACATAATAAACTCGTGGCAAATACAATTGAGAGTAGTAATTGTCCCATTGTACTCTCTGCCCTGATCAGAGCATTTTGTTCAGTTCTGTGTGGCACGATTCAGGAAGGACATCGATCAAGTGGAGAGGGCTCAGAGAAGGATGATCAAGAACATGTCATAGTACATGAAGGGACTCAAAGTTGGCACCATTTAAGGGCCACAAGAAAGAACTAGGTGCATTCAACTTATAGGGGAGAAGACAGGGAGGAACACGGCAGCTGCGTTCAAGCCTTTGAAAGGTCGTCACTCAAAAGAGGGATTAGTTTTGCTCTGCTTAGACCTAGAGGATGAGGTCAAAAGTGAGAGGTAGCAGCTGCAAAGAGGCAAACTGAAATTTGATGTCAGGAAAAACCTCCTAATAATTCAAGAACGGAGTGGGAGAGAATGGACTCCCCCTCATTGGAATTCTAAAAACAAGGAAGGGCCAGAAGATGATTTGCTGGGTATGTTACAGAGTACTATTGTTACATTAATTTTATAAATGAGAAAACTGAGTCTCAGAGTGGTTAAATGACTTGCCCAGGATCACACAACTAGTAAGAGTCTGAGGCAGATTTAGAACTCAGGTCTTCCTCTGAGTCCAACTTCCCTTGTAACAAAGTAGTTCAGTTAAGCAAAACAAATCAACACATTGACCTTGATTGACAATGGATGCCTCTTTCTGAAGCTAGGGTCCACCACCTCTCTGTTGAGAAGAGGTAATTACATTTCACCATCAGTGTTTGCGTTGGTTTTTTCATTCTTTGTAAAATGAAGGGGTTGGACCAGATGACCTCTAAGATCCCTCCCCATGATTCCCTCCTCTTCAATGATTCTACAGACAAGACTCTATGCTAAGCAAGAAGTGACCAAGGGAGTGAGTTCTCAGTACTCAAAAGAAAGCAATGAATAACTGGAAAAAACACTATAATTTAAAAATCATTTCTTTCCTAAACTCTCAGTTTATCTGAGTTATGATGTAAAGAGCTGCATTTTTTAATTGACGTTGTACATCTTTAGGGTTGGGTTTTGTTTTTTGTTTTTTTGTTTGTTTTTTTCAGAACTAAAAATAACTGACAAGATTTCCTCTCTGAACTTTCCAACAAAGGGTTGAAACCAAGCATCCAAAACTAAGGCCAAGGAATTTTTGGAAAACTTACTCTTCACTCCAATCAGATGGCTATCACAAAAGTGCCATGGAACATTCATCGCCCTACCTTCCCCACTGCCATTTCTATCCCTCTACTTCCAGTCATCCAGTGTCTAGCTCCAAGGACAGAAATATGCCCTGGAACTTGGCTACTTCAAAATTAGGAGAGAATGGCAAGCAGTACAGACCTTTCACCACTTGTTTTGTGAGATACTTTTCCTTGTATTTGTAAAAATAAACCAGCCTTGCAGGGGACCACAACTGCATGGTTTTCCATAAATGTTTCCAAAAGCAATCTATTGCTGGGTGGAAAACCTGATTTCATCCCAAATGAAATTTTTTCCCAGAAAGAAGTTCAAATGTTCTTCTAGAAGCTGCAGAGAACCAAGGATGGATATGTGACATGCCCTTTCCCAAGGATTTTTTTTCCCACAAATTATATCCAAAATAAAGATCACAAGAATTGGGCTTAAAAGGCAAAAAAAAAAACAAAAAAAAAAACCAGGGTGTACCAAAAAGTTTTAGTGCAGATTTAATCTATCTAAGCTTATAACTTCACTAAGACTTTTGAGAAACCTGATACATTTTGTTATTTAGTAAGCTGTAAATCATTGATTCATCAAATATCAGCATAGGAAAGGACTTCATAGGTCATCTCACTCAATAACTACCTGAAGTAGGAATTCTCTCTACGCTGTCCCTAGCAAATGGTCATCTAGTCTCTGCTTGAACACCCTAGTGACAGAGAGCTCAGTGCTTGCAGAGGCAGATGATTTCACTTTCGGACAGCTTGAATTCTTAGGAAGCTCTCCCTTATATTCAGTTGATATTTGTCTCTCTATAAAACAAAACTAATCCATCTTACACATGATAACCCTTCCAATATTTGTTGTTTTCTCTAAGTCTTGTCTAAGTTCCCTCTGTGATTTGGATAGGGGATGGAGGTGGACAGGAAAATATAGATTTCTCCGTGTCTCCCATGTTCACCTGTCTTTCCTTGGCTTTATCTACACCAGTTTAAAAAGTAAACATTTTACTAAAACTTCAGAGTCCATCTGCTTAGCTATTGTTACTTTTTTAATCACCAGCTGTGTGACTTTGAACTTTGAATGCTGTTTTGAACAAAACAATGAATTTCATTCTGTATCAAATAAGACGCTGTTCCCCAGCTCTTCTCTCTAAAGGCTATAAGTTACAAGGAAGGTGCCAGTCTGCACTGGTAGGAGAGATTTCCTCATCAGAAGTGCCCCCAAACCAAATAAATCAAAGGTCAATTTTTTTAAAGGCATTTGAATTAAATAATGATTCCTCTCTATTACTGACATACAGAAAATTAACATGTTGTGGAGGCCATCTCTCCTCTCTTCCTCTCTTCTCCCATCCCACCATCCTGGCCACACTCCCGGTGCCAACCATCCCTGTTTATTTTCGCACCATCTTCAAACCTGATTGCTTGGTTTCAACACAGCCAACTGAGATGTGACTCCCTGAAGAGAAAGGAAAGAAACAGCATGGTGGGGACAGGGCATCAAGCACTGAATCATAATGAACTCGAAGGGATCGTAGGGAACCATTTCATCTAATCATTTTATTTCACACGTACCATTTAATGGCAGCAAATTTCTGCTGCTCAATGTTTTCTTCTCCATTTTCCTGCCACCTCCAAAGAGAACTTGAAATGTGGGGGGCTAGGAGCTGAATTACTCATAACTTCTAATACAAAGAGTGTTTCAAAAAAATCAGTTAACTGACTTGCTTTAAGTCACAAATTAGGAAGTAGCAGAGCTTCGGAGCCAATTGTCTCTTGACTCTCGGCCCAGGACTCTTTCTACTCTCCCACCTCATCGTCAAAACTATCCCATATTCTTTAAAAGGTTCACAATGCCCTGGACCCCTTCTGACGTCTGAGAAAGGGTGGGGTTTTTGGAGGAGGAATTCCCCCAGTCATAATGACTAAGTCTATTGGTATAAGAAAAGAAATAGAAAAAAAGGATAATTTAGAGGAAAATAATTGAATAATGTAAAAGAAAGTCTCCTGACTCTTTCCTGAAACTGTCTTCCCACTTCCTCCATCTCTCAATATGCAAAAAGGCATGCAGCATAAAGGTGTGCTACAGTAGGACCTTTAAAAACCAGTCACTTGATTTGTTGGTAACATGTCAGAAAAGGGTGAACAGAAAACATGCATAAGAGACAGCATGGGCAAGAGAGCTTGCAGCATGGAGCAATTGGCCAGAGACCCCACGCCACGGTGGTAGCACAGGGCAGTGTGGGAGTAAATCTCCAGGGAATATCAGACTCCAGATTTCACCTGGCTATTGGCAAGGAAGGAGATGCTGTGCTGGGTAGAGATCGCTATCCACCATGAGGAAAGACTTTTCCCTTTCCTCTTTTGTGACTTTGATATGGAGCTATGTTTGTTTTGTTTTGGTTTGGTTTTTTTGTGAGACAATTGGGGTTAAGTGACTTGCCCAAGGTCCCCCAGCTGGTAAGTGTCAAGTATGTGAGGCTGAATTTGAACCCAGGTCCTCCTGACTCCAGGACCAGTGCTCTACCACCTAGCTGCCCCTATGGGGCTATGTTTGATAGTCTTCCTCTGCAGATACCTTCCGGGTAGAGATGTCCTCACAGAATCAGCCACTCAGGAATTTTAATGATTTTTTTTTGTTTTTTATTCCATCCATTCAGTAAATGTACTTTAATCTACTGAATGAACCTGTGGCGTGTGAAGCTGGAAAGATGATAAGAATTTTAATGGGGGTAGGGGCTGAGCTTTTTCAATAAAATTATGAATTTTTGAACACTTCAGGCCTCTACCAAATAAGACAAGACAGAACTAGGCTGGTTTCTAAGACACCAAGAGACTGGGAACCTACAGCCTACAGAAAGAACCTGAGGCCAATGACACCCAACCCAACTCTCTTTCCTACACTATACTACCAAACCTCTTTCATATTTTTTTAAGCAAGGCAATTGGGGTTAAGTGACTTGCCCAGGGTCACACAGCTAGTACATGTCAAGTGTCTAGTCTGAGACCAGATTTGTACTCAGGTCCTTCTGACTCGAGGGCTGGTGCTCTATCCACTGTACCACCTAGCTGCCCCACCTCTTTCACATTCTTTAAGAGATTCATAATGCCCTGGACCCCTCATTTTAGGCAAAAAAAAAATCCTCCACTCATAAAAAGTATATCATCCAAGCCATCTAATTACTTGTATTGAATTTGTACAAGGAATTAAAGAAGGACCTAAAGGAAAGTGATTGACTGGTCAGTCATTAAAAGAAAGCATCTGAAGTATGCCCCCACAGGCACTAAACTGTGCATACCTTTTCACCCAGCAATGCCACTACTAGGCTTGTACCTCAAGGAGATCAAAGAAAGAGTCTTATTGACCTATATATACAAAAATATTTCAAGCAGTTATTTTTGTTAAATCAAAGAACTGGAAACTAAGAGGGTCCCCACCAGTTGGAGAAAGGTTAAACAAATTGTGGCATATGGATGCAAGGAATATTATTGCACCATAAGAAATAACAAAAGGCATGGCTTCAAAGAAGTTTGTGAAAATTTGTGTGAATTGAAGCAAATGAAATGTGCAGAACTAGGAAAAGAATTTATATTGTAAAGAAAAATATCTTTGAAACACTTAAGAATTTTTATCAATGCAATAATCAACCATGATCCCAGAGAACTTGCATACCTACCTGCTTCATGCCAGAGAGATGAGGGACTCAGGGTGCCAAACTGAGACATAAATTTTTGGACATGGCTAATGCAGGAATTTGCTTACCTTGAATACGTATACTTGTTACAATGGTTTTGTGAAGGGTTTTTTTTTTCCCAACTTGGCAAGGAGGTGGGGAAGTGAGGGAAGAGGGTAACATTTTGGTTTAAAAAAAGGAAAGAAAGGAAAGGTCATTAAAGCATTTTTAATGCACAGAAGAGAACAGAAACTTTGAAAATAACCTGTTGAATTTATTATTTGCTTAAAAAGAAAACCAATCTGTAAGTAATAAGGTATTCATAGTGAGTGAGATTGGTGAAGACCCCTCATAAAATTTAAACTTAAATAAGTAAAATAAGGTAAAGATCCCTAATAATAATATATGTGTATATGTGTGCCCAGGTCAGGAAGCTTGTAAATAGCCTGGATGGATATGTTCAAATTGTTGCAAAAATAATCACCACCACAAATTATTCCAGGATCTGAAATGAACAAAAACAAGATGTACTAAGAGGATACTTGAAGGAGTGGAAGGCAGGTGAAACCTATGTAACGATTCTGTAATTTCCTCTGCTGTTGCTGGGGTAGTTTTTTTTTTCTTTTCGTGTTCAGATTTCGTGTCCTCTGAAGCCCAGCCAATGGGATAAGAGATAGGGGCTAGGTAGGAGTCAAGGTTAGAACCTATAAAAATGTTTGTTTGGCTGATACCACCTGTAGTCTTGCATCGAACTGCCTTTTGGTGCAAGTCGCCCTTTCTCGGAAATAAAATCATTTCTACTTTCTATCTGGAGAAGCCTCTGAATTAATTTGGGTAAGGGTTATCGCTGTGCCACACAATAGTTTCATGTAAAAATCTTCATTTTCAATTCTTCTTTATATGTAGGAATGCTTATTTTATTTTGTTAAGTCCAAAATAAGAAAAATCACAAAGAAATAAAAAGAATATATATATATAATGTGTGTGTGTGTGTGTTTATACAGCCTCTTTCCTCAAACTTCCTTCCCTTTCTGATGGCTTCCTGTCACTTCCCTCTGTCTCTCACTATTAGATGGATTTGTCTCAGAACTACAAGAAAAATCATGTCACTTTTCCCAGGTCCATTTTGGGGATATTTTCCAAGCTTCCAATCATTTTTGTGGCTCCCTTTTAGATTCCTTGACTTTAGTTCCTTCTTTGAAAGAGAAAGAAGAAAGTATCAAAAGGCAGTTTTCAATGAGCACTTGGCTGATGGGATGTAGACTCCTTAGTATCAAGGGGCTGCACCTAGATCTTTCCTTACCGTCAGACCATCCTGAGAGTTAAAAGTGTCTGTGAGTAACAGGATTCCAAAAGCCTCTGTAACATACTCAGTCACATTCTTCCTCTTCTTCTCCAGAAACTTTTTCCTGATATAGTCTCTTAATTTTGAGATTTCTGTAATTTACAGAAGACACAGTTAGGAATACCACCAGAAGCACCAGCAAACTGAATCAAAAGCCTATCTTAGAACTAGAAATAATAGTAATAGCTAGTATTTATGTAGTGCTTTATGGCTTGCAAAGTGCTTTACAAATATCTCATTTTATCCTTTCAATAACCCTGGGAGTTTGGTGTTATTTATTATCCCCATTTTATGGTTGAGGAAACTGAGGCAGACAGAGGTTAAGTGGCTTACCCTGGGTTATATAGCTAGTATGTCCAAGGCTGAACTTGAACTCAGGTCTTTCTGACTCTGGCCAGGTACAGTGCTCTAGCCACTACACTATCCAAAGGAACCGAGTTCCTCTGACTCCAAATTCAACATTCTTTTCATGGAAATTAGAAGAACAGATTGCCACAAGACGATGAGTCAGGATCGGACTAGGTTTCGTCCAGAGCCTCTCAGGGGGTGAAACCAGCTACACTAACTTTGCAGAGAGGCACATTTTTCCATGCCTAAAGTCTGTAAGAGGACATGAGAGATCAATACACACAAAATATTCATCTTGTGTATTTATCTGCATAGAATAAAGCAGAGGCATCAAACACACATTTGGCTACAGGACCAGATCAAAATGTAATTGGGAAATGTTTAACAAAATAAATAAAAATACAATAGAACATAGATAATGTTAATATGTGGTTTTCTAATTAAATATGTGGCCCACAGGGATCCTTATGTACAGTTTAGTGGCTCCCCATTTCTGTTTCAGTTGGATGGCACTGGAATAAAGTATGGAGTTTAGTGAAAGAACGTCATGTGCAGGATGGTGTAGATTAGCATTTACCAGTCAGGTTAGTCCAAGAGCATATGCAGGTAGAGTGTCTTGGTTGCTCTAATTACTGTTTTTCCATACAGTTGTGGCATTATAAAATCATAGGATCCTAGATTTATAACTGGAAGGAACCTTAGGAACCATCTAGTCTGACTCCTTTACTTTACAGATGAAGAATTTGGAGTCCAAGGAGTAACTCGCCAAGATTACACAGGTGCGGATATTTGAAACCAGGTCATCTGACTCCAATTTCAAAATAACCTCTGCTTGTCAAAGATGGGCAAGGCAAAAATCCCTAGGCAGGAGGATTCTAGTTGAGAGACCCGGCTCAGTCCTAAACCTCCACCAAATTAGAATTCATAAGATATTATATCCACTCTCATTTCAAAGGTGTCAGCATGGTATAATGGAAAGCACTTTGGCTTTAGAGTCTTAGGACCTGGATTCAAATTTCTCCTTTGATACTTAACTGCCTCCATGACCTTGGATAAATAACAACTTCTCTGGGACTCAATTTCCTTATATGTAAAATGAGTGGAATGGACAAGATGATTCCTGAGGTCCCTTTCCTATTTAAATCTATTATTCTAAGAAGAAGTAGGCAAGGCCACTAAGACTCTTGATACCCATGTCCTTAGACCAAACCCACTAGTGAAGACCAACCTTACTTGCCTAACCTTTCTCCAAGCTAGGTATTTCAATATACACAGTAAGTAAACAGGTAACTCATTCGTTTGCTTATTTATTAAATGTCAACTTATTCAGGGGACTGTGCTAGGTACTGGGGAAGGCAGTTTAAATGAGGTTAAATTTAATTTAATCTACTCAATCTCGATACATTAAATTAGATTAGATTAGATTAAAGTTTAAATTAGATATGGTCTCTACCTTCAAGCAGTTTATAACCTAGTACAGGGGTCAGCAAACTAAATTTAGCCTGCTGCCTGTTTTTTATCTAGCCTAGGAGCTAACTACCTAGTTATCTTGACTCCAGGTCCAGTGTTCTTTTCATTATCTCATGTTGCCCCTATGCAAGGGGCTGTGTTAGGATTTTAGTCCCAAGTTATTGTGGAAAAAGACACAACAGTAATGCTAAAAAGATACTAATTTTTGCCAATAGGTGAAGAAGCTAGGACATGATAGGTTGATGAGATATAGGCTTAGAAAGAAAGAAAAAACACTAAGGGTCAAGCTTAACCTTGGTAGATTAAGCACTTGAGGAAAAAGGAAGTGAAAAAGTTCAGCATTACCTGTTTCTTCTTCGTTGAGTAACTCCTGCCGCCAATACTCCTGAGCACTGACTGTGTATACCAGATCTGAAGCTTCTAGAACCTTGGAATCAGTAGGCAGTTTTCTCTAAAATGAAAGAGATGCACATTGAATACAATGACTCAACTTGTAGAAAGCAAGAAGCCAATGGACCTTACAATATGCACTAGCAAATCCTAACAGACTCACTTTTAGCTCCTTAAAAGCTCCCTGGGAGACAGGGGTGTAACAAGGATGGGGTAGTTAGGGTTTTGTCCCAAGGTAGAAATTTGAAGGGTGCTAAAAACATTATCTTGGGAGCACTTCTTCCCCTATCCAGCTGCAATCGTGGCATGCTTATTTCCCTCAATGGCCATACTTTTAGAGTATTAAAAACCTTGAGGTATCCCCAGCCTGTACTTCCTCTCCCAAGAAGAGAATTATATTTTGATAGAAAAAGCACGTGTCAAATATTCCTTCTCATGCTATATGCCTAGGTAAGCCTAGCTGACTTGCAGCTTGCTGGCACAATGGATAGAGTGACAAACCTGGAGTCAAGAAGACTCATCTTCCTAAGTTCAAATCTGGCCTCAGATACTTACTAGGTGTGTGACCTTGGGTCAGTCACTTCACCCTGTTTGACTCAGTTCCTGTAAAATGAGCTGGAGAAGGAAATGGCAAACCACTCCAGTATCTTTGCCAAGAAAACCCCAAATGGGATCACGAAGAGTTGGACATGACTGAAAAATGACTCAGCAGCAACAAGCTGAGTCATACAAAGCCACAAAGAGATAATGAATCTCACACTAGAGACTTTAGCTGTGTGACTAGAGACTAAAGCTATGTGACAAGCATAAATCTACCATTTTGTACTGAATTCTTTTGGGTGTGATGCATCTCAATGAACAATTGCTAAGCCATGCCATTCTCAATGGGCCACCATAGCTGCTATACATGGCAGCACACAGTACAAAGTTTTAGATAGGTTTTCAGCATGCACTCTATATTTATTCATGATGCCCCATTTTGCCTTTTAAAGAAATATTTTGCTGCTATAGAGGAATTGTGAGTCAATATGAGTCAATAGCTCACCAAGCCAAGCATCTAGAGCAGACCTGCACAACTTGGCAGTAGGTGGGGCCAAAATTAAAATAGGCCAACCTTCTTCAGGCAGCAGACAGGTTTTTAGCAGCTCACTTTCCAAGTAAAGATATAATTAATGATTAAACTGTTGTGCAAATCATATTTTATTAAAAAGGGAAATTTTAATTAATATCAATTAATTACACTTATTACTCAAAATTTTTACTTATCATGAAATCACATTAATGTTTGCTAAATGGTACAAGTTTTAATACATTTTTCAGGTTTTTTTATTGTTTACATTTAGTAACAAGGGAAACACAGCGAAAAAATAGAGATAGATTGACAGTGGTTGGTTGCCATGGGTCATGTGACAAACGAGAGAGTGTACAGTGGCAACCTACCCGCCAAGGCACATGATGGGCACAACAGTGACTAGTGGAAGGCAGGTTAAGTGGGGCACAGACAAAACCCTTGTTACATCTTTACTTTCTTTTACATCCTCTACGTTTTTTGTGAAATACTTTGGTGGGCTACAAAGTGGTCTGCAGGCCGTATGTTGTACAGGCCTGGTCCGTAGGCTGGGGGCATACTAACTCTGTATGTTCCCTTGCTACTAACAAACAGGGCCATCCACAGTTTTTTCAATCATTTCCACATAGTCCCTAGAAAAGCTCTTGCTGCTGCTAGGAGTAGCAACAGCCTTTTAAGAGAGACATTATTTTGAGAAAAAAAATTAGAAATATCCTCAAAATTTCAGGGGAGGGGGAAGAGATGTTGAACAAGGATTAATTTACAAAAGGGAAAATACACAGGGAACATGCGAACTCACCTTCAACTTTTCCTTGAGAATCCTGTTCTTTTGCAGATTCACAGCTTCATTTCTTTCTAAAATTGCTTCGCGCTGACTTTCGATCACCCGCTAGATGGTTAAAAGAAATGAAAGTATGCTAATAATTATTTTAAATAATTATGATATATTACTTATTCTATATAATGACATGTTATTATGGTTTATATTATATATTAATTAATATGCTAATGATGCAACATATTATTTGTATAATAGTATTTATTATTAGGACAGTTGCTGATACAGTGGCTAGACTGTCAGTCCTGGAGTGAGGAAGACCTGAGTTCAAATCCAGCCTTAGACACTTACTAGCTATGGACCCTGGGCAAATCACTTAATCCTGTTTGCCTCAGTTTCCTCATCTGTAAAATGAGCTGGAGAAGGCAATGGCAAACCACTCCAATATCTTTGCCAAGAAAACCTCAAATGGGATCATGAAGAGTCAGACATGACTGAAACAACTGAACAACAATTTATTATTATTAACAATTATATAATTTGTGTTGTATAATTATAAGCAATTATATTTTGTGATATTATTATCATCATTAATGGTAGGTCCATGGCACACTGGATGGAGCATTGAACCTGGAGTCAGACGACCTGATTTCAAATCTAGCCTCAGACACTTACTACCTGTACAACCCTGGGCAAGTCCTTAGTCAAGGCTCTCTCAGCCTCAGTTTTTTCATTTGTGAAATGGGGATAATCATATCCACTACCTCATAGGGCTGTTGTGAGGATCAAATGAAATAAAATAAGTGAAGAACTCTGAAAACCTTAAAGAGCTAGATAAATACTAGTTATTGTTATTAAGTTTGTTAAATAATAATGGCTGCCATTTACATAGTATTGTTAAGATTATTGTAAAATATTCGATGTATATTCATATATAATCTCATTTGAATTTCACAACAACCCTATGTGGTGGTGATAATATATTTTATTATCCCCATAAAGAAAGTGAGGTTACTAAAGGTTGAATAACTTGCTCCAGGCCATGCAGCAAGTAGGTGTTGGGTGCAGGATTTGAACCCAGGATTTCTGGATTCCTTTTCCAGCTTGCCATCCACTACACTATGCTGCCTCTCCAATAGTCTATTAAAGGCTAATTGAATATTCCCACAACCACAGCTAACAAGTAACTGATAAAGATGGGCTACCAGACAAAATGAACTTTACATCATTTATATTATACAATATATTATATTATTACCTTATATATTATATATTTATATATTATATGCTATACTACTTATCTTATATATTAAATATAATTTCTATTACAACAGACCATAAACAGAATAATTTATATTCTGAAGTCATAGAATCTTAAGAATTAGGGAAAGGACCTCAGAGAGAATCTAGTTCAAACTCCAGTCCAATTCCAAAAGACCCCTCTACAGAACCCCAGAGAGATGGTCATCTCGTTGTCATTCAGTAGTTTCACTCGTGTTCGACTCTTTGTGACCCCATTTGGGGTTTATTTGGCAATGATGCTGGAGTGATTTGCCATTTCCTTCTCAAGCTCATTTTACAGATGAAGAAACTGAGGCAAACAGGGTTAAGTGACTTGCACAGGATCACACAGTTAGTAATTGTCTAAACTTGGATTTGAACTCAGGTCTTCCTGACTCCAGGCCCAGTGCTCTATCCATTGCACCACCTACCTGCCCCAGTGGTCATCTAGCCTCTGTTTAGAACATTTCCTGTGAAAGGGAGTTCACTGCTTCACAAGGTAGCTGGTACCATTATTGAACAGGTCTAATTTTTAATGACAAAGTTCTTTCTTATAATGGGTTGATATTTGTTCCCTTTAATTTCCACTCAGCCTTATTTCCATAATCCAGAACAAAACAAAACATATCTATCCCCTTTTCCAAATGACAGCCCTTTAGATATTTGAAGACACCTGTCCTATCTCCCTTTAGTCTTTGGTTAAAATGAATGCTGCAAAAGTACTTACAGGGAAGTCCTCTTACCCCACCCCTGCCTTAGCTTTTACTAAGTACCTATATACAATATGTTGTGCTAGGTATTATGAATACCAAGATGAAACTGACAATCCCTATTCTTAAAGAGCTTACAATCTATGAGAGGACATATATAGGAATGGTAAATAAGTAACCTAAGAAATCCAGCTATTTCTATTTGAAGATATAAGGAGAGATACCATAAAGAGGCCAATGCTAGTTACAACTCTGTGTATGGACTCAGTAGTAATGACTCACACTGGATCTTCTGCCTTCTCTATCAACCTTGCCTTGAGCTCTCTGGCACTATGCCCATGCAATGGTGCTGCTGCCTGGAAAGACAGAATCATACTGTTTCTTCTTTTTTTTTTCTCTTTTAGCAGCAGTAATTCCTTCTACCCCAAGATAGACAGATAAGGAAACCAAGACCCAGAGAGGAAAAGGAACTCACCCAAGGTCACTCATCCAGGTAGCGGAAGAGTTGGGCTTAGAACCTATATATAATGTAGATTATTGCTGCTCCTCATACTTGGTGATATGATGTCTCCTACTTCCATGTCTTTGCCCAGGATGTGTCCCATGCTTGGCATATTGTCCTTCTTCACCTGTACTTCTTGGAATCTCTTTTCAATGTTTAGCTCACATAATAGCTCCTACTCAAATCCCTTTCAGTTCCCCCACTTGCTAGTGCTTCTCCCCAACTTCCTCACCCCACTAGACAATTTTGTGTATGTTTTGTATTTGCCTACCCATGTAAATAATTTCTTCCCAATAGACTCAAAGTTCTTTGAAAGCAAGGAATATTTTGTTTTTGTCTTTGTATCTATTCCCTGAGTCTAGCACAGTGCCTAGCACAAAGTAGGCATTTAATAAATGATTGTTGAATTGCACTGAATTATATAAAGGGTTTCATTTGAAAGGAAATAATTCATACTCACATTTTCCCCTTTTCTTTCCCTAAAAAAAAATGAAAAGAAAAAGAAAAAATCTATTTAATAACACATTATGTTATTTTTTTAGTATGTACTAAAGAAATCATTTGGCAGAACTTCTGGATTTGGAATCGGAGAACCTGAGTTCAAATCCTATCTCTGTCACTGACTATCTGTGTGATCTTGGGACATCACTTAAAATCTCTGGGCCTCAGTTTCCTGATATGTAAAATGAAAGGGTTGGATTAGATGGCCTCAGAGCTCCCTTCCAGCTCTATATCTGTGATTTTAAACAAAGAAGTACAAACTCCTCCAGCAGTAGAGATCTCAGGAGACAAACCACTTCTCTCTTCCCCATTTGGCTCAGATTAAGTCATAAGCCATGTCCTTTAAATCGTAAGCTCCTTGAGAGCAGGGGTCATCCTCCTTTTTATTAATTGTATCATCAGCTCTTGCCACAGTGCCTGAAACATAGTAGGTGCTTAATAAATGTGGATTGGATTGCATTGGATGTGCCCATTCAAGATCTGTTTCTCTTCAAAATTCCAACCCAGAGTCTTGATGACTAATGAAAATACAAGAGACTTGGAAAGTTGAAAAAAGAAGATATTGGTATAGGAAAAAGCGATTATGAAAAACAGTGGAGTTGGAGGTTAGGAGGGAACTTTCTCAAGAAAAATATTGTTTCAAATGTGGAGTAATTTGGATCCAGTAGGGCAGAAGGATAAAGGGAAAATTTAAGTGGGATGCAACTATCTCTCAGAAATAACTTCCCCATTCATGGCAATTACATGTCTGGTGTCCATGTTACCTAATTATAGGTTCCTGAAGTTGTCATTGTTTAGTCGTTTTCAGTCGTGTCTGAATCTCTATGACCCTATTTGGGGTTTTCTTGGCAAAGATACTGGAGTGGTTTGCCATTACCTTCTCCAGCTCATTTTACAGATGAGGAAACTGAGCCAAACAAAGTTAAATGACTTGCCCAGGGTCACATAGCTAGTGTTTTAAAACTGGATTTGAACTCAGGTTTTCCTGACTCCAGGCCCAGAATTCTATCTACTACTCCACCTAGCTGCTCTGAAAAACTGTATGTAAATATTGTTTGGAAAATAATATTTATATTGTGCCATATGAAATAGAAAGTATGAAAAATTCAAGAAAACTTAGGAAAGCTTATATGAATTGATGAAAAATGAAGTTTTTGAATTGAAGTTTTGAAAGTAATTTATGTGATAATCACAATAATGTAAAGGAAAAGAACTCTGAAAGACTTCTGAATGTGATGGGATATTGCTGCATTACAAGAAAAGATTAAACAATTAATATATAGAAGGATGGGGAGACATCATCCTCATAGCTAGCATTTATATAGCACTTTTAGGTTTGCAAAGCTCTTTACAAATTTTATGTCATTTTGGGTACTGTATTTCTTGAATGGGTGGGGGCGGGGTAGAGGGAAGAAGAGAATTTAGAACTGAAAAAAAAATAAACAGATAAGTAAATGAATCTATGATCCTACAAAAAAAAAATTATCTTATTTTATGCTCACAACAACCCTGGACAGTAGGTCCTATTATTATCCCAATTTCACAGATGAGGAAACTGAGGCAGCCAGCAGTTAAGTGGCTTGCCCAGTGTTACACGCATAGTTAATGTCTAAGGCTAGATTTGAACTCCTGTCTTCCTAAGTCTAAGACCAATGCTCTATACCTCTTACCTGTCAAGTAAAGTAAGCAGAATCAAAAAAAACAATTTGTACTCAATGAGTATGACAATGTAAATGGAAAGAATAATTGAAACTGAGTGTTGCTAAAATATAATGATTAAACTGGGCCTTAAACAAAAGATAAGACAAGGTGCCTCTCTCCCTTCTTTGCAGAGATGAGGGACTATGGATTTGGAACATTACATAGAACTATATCTATAATAAAACATGCATCATATATTGCATTGTGGACTTGGGTGATGTGCCATTTAGTTTTGTTTAACATTCCTTTTGTCTTTTTTATTCTTTGTTGCAAAGTATGGCTCTCTGGAAGGAGCATGGGGAAAATTATATTGGGAAAGGTAGGTGATATTAAAAAAAAAAGCTATCAATTTTTTTTTTAAAGAATGGGGATTCAAGGGAGAACTATACCTGGCAACTGAGAGCCAAAACTGCCAAGAGAAAGCCTCCCAGCAGAGACCTTTCTTTTTGTCCAGTGGAGAGTTGAAGGGAGGACTCCATGAGGAAAGAAATGACATCAAGACCCTGTGATACTGGAGACGTGAGCTACGTTGGCCACAAGTATGCCTCACGGCCACTGTACTCTGTTTGTGCCCACAGATACTGTGTGTATTTGTTAAAGAGAGTGCCCTATGTTTATGGGGAGAAAGTTTTGAACACTATGTAGTTTTTTTGTTTTTGTTTTTGTTTTACTACGCCATCCTGGTAAATGCCGTTGCTATGAGTTAATTGAATTTGCTGGCTGATTGTGTATTACCTACAGTTACCCCTAGAATTTCAAGTTGTTGCCCCACTGAGAACCCAATCTGCAAATCTTTAAGCACCAAATTGGAGAAGCAAACCTGCATGGTATACTACACGAAGGATGTTAGAGTGTGGAGGGAGTCTCAGAGATCACCTAGTCCAGTCCTCCCCATTTTACAGTTGAGGAAACTGAGATCCAGTAGGCTTTAAATGACTTACCCAAAGTTATAAAGTAAGTTAGGAATAAAGCAGCAACTAGAACCAGATCTTTTGAGTTCTTTACCTACCATATTTTACATGCTTTAGCAACTTTCACTTTCTCTCAAGGATTTAGAGGTGGAAGGGACCTTGGAGATCACTAGTTTAACTACCTCCCCTTCATTTTATAGGTGAGAAAAATAAAGCCCAAAGAAGTTAAGTCGCTTACCCATTCACACAGTCAGAAAATAGCAGAGACAAGATTCAAATTCAGATCCTCTGACTCCAAACCAGGGCTCTTTCCATTGCACCCCAATGACTCTCCAAGAAGTGTAAGGGAGCAGCACAAAGGGAAACCCAAGATTGATCATACCTTAAGTAATCTGGCAGATAGAGTTTATCACACTTTGTGACCACCAGGGCAATATCTTGGCAGACTCCCCGCTGACAAGCTTTGATACTTTCACAGAGAAGCTCTTCGTGGATTTTCCCCCCAGAAATCTTCTCAATGTCACTAATCACCCAGATCACAGAACACTTATCGATGGTCTAGAAAGCACCAACAATACACACACTTGAACAACAAATATTAAACATAGAGTTAGTTCTAGGAGTCCAGAAAATGGAGTATGAGACCCAGACCTACCACCAGGGGATGATGGAGCCTGCTCAGACCTGCTGGAGAGCCAACTGGGAAATTTTCATTGTGAGTGTTCACACCTGGGAAATCAGCAAAGGCTACAACTCAGGGCTTGGTTTATTACTTTGTTGACTGTCTCAATTTAAGAAAGTGATAGAGAAAATGTTAATAATGCAGATGAAATTTTAAAATGTGTCATGCCAAGTGGACATATTTCAGAAAAACCTGGAAAGGCTTACATGAACTAATGCAAAGTGAGGTAAGCAGAAGAAGAGAACATTGTACACAATATCAGAAACATTGTGCAATGTTCAACTGTGAACTACTTAGCCCTTTTCAGAAATACAATGATCTAAGACAATTCCAAAGGAATCATGATGGAAAATGCTATCCACCTCCAGAGAAAGAACTGTTGGAGTCTGAATGCAGATTGAAGCATACTATTTTCCTTTCTTCATTTTTTTTTCGTGATTCTTTTCTTTTGGCCTGTTTCTTCTTTCACAACATGACTAATATGGAAACATGTTTTAAATGATTTCACATATATAACCTATATCAAATTACTAACCATTTTATGGAGGAGGTGGAGAGAGAGGAAGGGAGACACATTGGAACTCAAAATTTCTTTTAAATGAATGTTAAAAATTGTCTTAATATGTAATTTTTAAAAAGAAAATACTATTAGAAAAGAAAAAAAATGTGTCATGCATACTTTTTCCAGTTTTTGGTTTTTGGAGAGCCATTGTTAAATAATGATCAGCACACTACTGGTCCTTTTATATGCTTTCTGCATTTGTGTGTGTGTGTGTGTGTCCTTGTGAGTCTTTGTATCATATGTGAGGCAATATAAAGACTGTCCTATTCTCCTTAAGTATTTATTGCCTTGAGTGCTTATAGAGGAGGTGATGACCCTGCTACCTACACTTGTGGAAACCTAGACACAAGTTAGACATACGCCACAACTGAAAATTTTCCTGAAAAAACTCTGGGTGGAAGCCTAAGGAGGCAAAGAGAGTGACATTGTTATGGGGTGACATCAGAGTCTGGGCACCCTTCGTGTTTGTGGGAGAGGGACATAGGAAGGATTACAGAATCATAGAATTTGAGATTTGGAAGGGACCTCAGGAGCCAACTAGTGCAAACAATACATGAGAGAGGATTAAGGAATTATTTAGGTGGGAAAGCTATAAGTAATCCGAATAATGTATATTATTGGACTGGTCTTCCCAAGTAAAATAAGTAGATGTCTACCTAAAGATGAGGAAATGGAGGCCCAGAGAAGAGTGACTTTCTTAAGACCACCGTGCCAGATAATCAATGAGAACTTAGAAACAATAAAACAAGGGGTCCCAAAGAGTTGTTTAAGAGACTTGCCTAAGGTCACATGGGTAGTTTCATACTAAGGGGCAACTAGCAGAAATTAGTTGCAATAATGCCAGAACTCAGCAGGAGATGATGAGGGAGAGATAATTGAGGCAGGAAGGGAGGAGGGTCTCATGTGTCAGTCTCAGATCACACTGTTCAGAGGAAAAGCATTTTTTACCTCAACATGTAGATGATATCCCAAAACCACAAGTATGCTAGGGAGCAGCAGTCCAAATGCAGTGTGGTCAGAAGTAGGGAGTTAGTTCAGATTGTCCCTGTTGGGGCTTTTTTTCCCCCATCTGGATCGGTTTATTTTTCTGTTATTAGTGGCCTCTGAAAAACTACCCAACTGAGTAAGGTAAATGCTCCATCTGGCTGTAGGGCCAAGCTTAAATAACCACAACACTGGCATAAATCAGGGGTCCCCATCCCCCACCCCCGCACCTCTCTGCCCTCCCTGGAATTCTCTCTCTCCCACCTTCTAGGTCTTGGCATCCCTAGGTTCCTTCTGGGCTCAGCTCAAGGGCCATCTGAGTCCTAATACCCCAACCTGTTAGTGACTTTAGGGGAATCACTTCAGTTATTTTCCTGCCCCATTTTCCTCAACTGTGGAATGAGGGGTTTGGATTGAATGACCTTTAACCGCCACTACCACCACCACTCTCCAAATTACATTGTATATAATTTGCATTTACTTATCTATGTATTTGATTCCACCTGCCACCCAGAGGCAACCAAGGTAGTGCAGTGGATAGAGTGATGGGTCTGGAGTCGGGAAGGCCAGTGTTCACATTCATCCTCAGAATTAATTAGCTGTGTGACTCCAGGCAAGTCACCTCACCTCTATCTGCCTCAGTTTTCTCAACTATAAAATGGAGATAATAGCACTTACCTCCCAGGGTTGTTGGGGATGTCAATAAGATAATATTTGTAAAGCACTTAGCATAGTACCTGGCACATAGTAGTAACTTAATAAATAGTTGTTCCCTTCTCTACCTTTCCCCTCCCCATCCCCCAGTAGAATGTAAACTCCTTGAGCTTAGGGACTTTTTCTTTTTCTTTGTATCCCCAAACAGCACCTAGCAGAGTGCCTAGAACATGGTAGGCATTTAATCAATTCCTCTGAGATTGAATTGAATTGAACTTGTAACCACTCTCATTCAAGGCCTGGACTTGAAAGTGTAGAGATGCCATTTGGGCCTAGCTCCCTGAGATCTGCCTCTGCTCCTAATGCAATAGAAGTAGTATTGGCTCTGGAGCCAGGGGCCTATGGTTCAAATCCCTCCTCTACTACTTAATTACCTGAGTGACCTCAGGCAAGTCACAAAACGTGATTCTCAGGGCCTCAGTTTCCTTATCTGTAAAACAAAGATCCTAAGAGAGAGCCTGGCTTGAAGAGAGGTCAAAGCTCCCTACTCCAAACCAAAGCCAGTTGGGGCTAACTATAAATAAAGGCCCCACAGCCCCACAAATTGCCTAAATCCTAGAATCCTTCTCCCAAGAAACAAGTGCTTTGGAACAATGGTTTTCACCTTCCTTCAAATTACAACAGCTCACATTTTTATAGGACTTTTCTCACTACCACTTTAAAGAGTAGAAAGAATACATAGTATTATCTCCATTCTACAGATGAGGAAACTGAGATCCAGAGAGGTGAAATAACTTGCTATAAAAAGCCAGAGCCAGGACTCAAACCCACATCTTCTGATTTCAAGGCTAGTATTCTTCCAACTTGCCTTTTGTTAAGTCATCAAATCAAGAGATGTTCATTAAGCACCTACTATGTGCCAGGCACCATGCTAAGCAATGGGGACACAAAGAAAGGTAAAAGACAGTCCCTACTCTCAAGAGGCTCACATTCTAATGGGGGAGAAAACACAAACTATGGACAAACAAGCTATAGACAGGGTAAAGTGGAGAGAATCAACAGAAGGAAGGCACTAAAATTAAGAGGTATAGGGGAAGGCTTCCTCTAGAAGGTGGGATTTTAGCTGGGCATTGAAGAAAACCAGGGAAGCCAAGATGTGGAGACAAAGAGGATGCACATTCCAGGCATGGGGGACAGCCAGGGAAAATGGACAGTCAGGAGACAGAATGTCATGTTCGAGGAACAGAAAGCTGGCCAATGTCACCATTGCTCTAAAATCATAGAATCTGAGAGCTAGAAGGGACATTTAGCATCAAACAGTTCATCCTCCTTGTTTGAGAGAGAAGACTGAGGAGCAGAGAAGCTAACTGACCTTGGGCAAGTCACTTAAGGTCTCCAACCCTTCAGTTTACTCATCTGTAAAAATGGGCATGATTATATTACACTACCTCCTTCCCAGGGCTGTTGTTGACTAAATGAGAAACTATATGTATGTTTCTTGGTAAGCCATAAAGTCTTATGGAGATATTGAAGTTGAGAGACATTATAAAGTCAGTCTCAGAGTCAGGAAAAGGCCTAGCTTAAAGACTCCAAGTTACAAAGTAGGTGCTCATCTGCATTGGTGGAGGGAGCTTACTCACTGCGAGTTCTTTACACCAATGAAATCACAGGTCCAGTCCCATCCACAAATCTCACATATAGATATATATGTGTGTGTGTATATGTATGTATATGTGTATATGTGTGTATATATGTTTTTATGTACATACAGAGAGGTATATATACACACAGGTCTATATTTGAATGTATATATATATGGGTGTGGGTGTGTAGCTGATATATATGTTATACATGTATGATGTTTTATATAAATATGTATTTATATGTATAAACATATATCACATTTCAGATATATACATCAATATATGTCACAGATAAAGGTGATATACATATATAAATATATCACACATAACAGTTATACATATACCTGTATATCACATATAAAGGTGACATATATATAGCCAATATATATAACATATATATATCCATATAGATCACATGTAAATGGGAGAATATATATACATATATATAATCATATGTAAATTTGAGAATATATATCAGATGTTCAGGAATGTTGTGGTTGTTTTTCAGTCATGTCCAACCCTTTGTGACCCCATTTGGAGTTTTCTTATCAAAGATACTAGAATGGTTTGCCATTTCTTTCTCTAATAGAAGGCAGCTAGGTAGCACAGTGGATTGTGCCAGGCCTGGATTCAGGAAGGCCTGAGTTCAAATCTGGACTCAGACACTTACTAGCTGTGTGACCCTGGGCAAGTCACTTAACCCTGTTTGCCTCAGTTTCCTCATCTATAAACTGAACTGGAGAAGGAAATGGCAAACCACTTAGTATCTTTGCTAAGAAAACCCCAAATGGGGTCATGAAGAGTCAGACATCTGAAAAAAAAAACTTAATAATATCAGACATACACACCCATACATATCACATATAAAGGTGATATATATGTCATATATATGTTACATATATATCAGCTACACATACTCTTCTATGTTACATATAAATGTGATATAAATGTATCACATATATATCAGATATACACAAACACACCAAATATATGTGTACATAGGTATAAACATATGTATATGAGATTTAGGGATAAGAATTGTACCTATGGTTTCATTGGCATAGGGAGTTCCCTCTACTAATGTCAGCTGGCACTTCTCTGATGCTGCCACAGTGCTGCCTAGATACCTGCGAGTCTAAGTAACTTCCCCATGACCAGGTAGCCGATATGTGTCATAGGTAAGACTTGAACCTGGGTCTTCCTGACTTCCAGGGCAGCTCTCTATCCACCTCAGTATAAAGAACTGGCTAGGAAGTCAGGAAAACCAGAGCTCAAGTTTCTCTTCTAAAACTAACAGGCTCTGAAACCCCTGGGCAGGGCACATAACTTCTCTGTGCCCCCAGGCAATTCTCTGAGATTAGATTGCTAATCTGGACTGATAGAGGGAGTTTCCTATGCCTATAAAATATGACAGAAATACATAAATGTTCAGTTACTATAAGAAAGACAGCATGGTACAGTAGAATGAACACTGGACTTAGAATCAGAGCCGGGTTCAAGTCCCAGCTCTCACACTTATTAAATGACTGCATGAGTTTAAGTCAATCAGAATCTCTCTGGGCATCAGTTTCCTCATCTGTAAAATGAGTGTGCTAATAATATACTACCTACTTACAGTGCTGTCTTGAGGATAGCACAGTGCTTGGCACACGTTCAGTCATTCAGTTGTGTCTGACTCCTTGTGACCTCATATGGGTTGGGTTTTTTTAGGGAGAGGAGAGGCAATCAGATTTGGGGGACTTGCCCAGGGTCACTCATCCATTAAGTGTCTGACACTTGAACTCAGTTCCTCCTGACTCCAAGTGGAATTCTATCCATTGCGTCACCTAGCTGCCCCCATATGGAGTTTTCTTGGCAAAGATACTAGAGTGGTTTGCCATTTCTTTCTCCAGTAGATTAAGCCAAACAGGGTTAAGGGACTTGCCCAGGACCACATAGCTAGTAAGTATCTGAGGCCAGGTTTGAGCTCAAGACTTCTTAACTCCAGGCCCAGCATTCTATCCACTGAGCCATCTAGATGCATCTTGCTTGGCATATAGTAGGTGCTTAATAAATTCTTGTTGACTAACTGTTGACAGAGGACAAAATCAGATAATGCATTAAAGGCTTTGTAGCAGTTATTACAATGGTATTACCTGAACTCACACAGCTAATTAGTGGCATATACAGAATCAGGACAGTCCAGGCCAAGGGTATGTCGGAGCCAACTCTAACAGGTTATTGTTAAATTTTCAATGTGAGCATTTACATCTTAGACATCAGCTATATATTGTCACAGGGCTTGACTAGTTTTCTTGATTGTCTAGACTAAAGAAAGATTAGTTTGTTTTGTTTTGCCAGACAACCCATTGCTGTAACATCCACCTTCTTCCCTAGGGTTCCGCTGCTTTCTTGTCTACTGTGTTGCTAACTCCTAAGCTCTTCTCCTTCTCCTAGCAGAGCTTGCCCCCTGGATGTGGGCCACTCCAATTTTGGCTCTTGACATGTGTCCCAATTCTTTACCTATATCAACACTGGGCTTAGTACTCAGGGGCCAGAATAAGAATATCATTTCATGAGCTCATTAAAATCCCATTATCAAAAAGCCAAGCACCCTTTAAGGTTTGAGGGAAGAGATATGATTGAAGAGGTTGAAAGGGTTGAAAAATAAGGAGAAATTACCCTTTTCCACATTTCATCTCTTTTGCTATTAAAGTCGCCTGTTCCAGGTATGTCTACGAGCACCACACCTTCCGGAAGCACCCCCGACCTGGGCAAAGTCACTTCTACATATTTGATCAAGGGCCAGATTTGGGTCCTAACTGGCCCCCCATCTGTATTCCTCATCTGAGTCCGGATGTAAGGGTCCAGTTTTACAGAGAGCTCATTTGCCTGAAAAACAAAGAAAGAAGTATAACAGCTGTATATTCCCATATTCCCACAGGCCATCTTTTCCTGGCATTGATGGTTGCCCAGATGTGTCGAAAGAATATTATACATAAATCACATGAGGTAGGCATGAGAAATCTCACACCAGTCTAGCTATACAACTGTGACAGTATCATTTAATTTATTATTCATTTTATTTTATTTTTCAATTAAAAAGCACTTATTTTCTCTCCTTCCCACTCCACACCCAATTCAAAAGGAAAAAAGAACAGAACTATTGTAACAATATATGCATAGGCAAACAAAATGAATTTCTATACTGTCCATGTCCAAAAATGTGTGCCTCATTCTGCATCCTGAGTCTATCACCTCCCTGTCAGAAGGTGGGTAACATAATTCATCATCATGGTTAGTTATTGAGTTCATCATTAAAGCTGTTTCTCTTTACAAAGTTGATATTATATAAATTGTCCTCCTGGTTCTGCTCCCTTCCCTCTGCATCAGTTTATATAAGTCTTCCCAGGTTTCTCTGAACCCATTTCTTTCATAATTTCTTATGGCACAGTAATATTCCACTATATTCTATGCCCTAATTTATTCATCCAGGGGATGAGCATCCTCTTAGTTGCCACTATAAAAAGAGCTCGCACAGTGGATAGAGCACCAGCCCTGGATTCAGGAGGACCTGAGTTCAAATCGGCCTCAGACACATAACACTTACTAGCTGTGTGACCCTGGGCAAGTCACTTAACCCCATTGCCTAGCCAAAAAAAAAAAAAAGAGCTCAAATCATTTAACCTAACTAGAGAGCCAATCCTCTCCCAGTGCCTTAGTATAGCCTTACCTACAAAGAGATAGGGTCAGTCTAAATGAGCTCTGACAGAATTATAATTAGAGAAGCCTTAAGAGAATTCTAGAGCCAGGCAAAATATATTCTGTCACTGTTTCTGGATAAAAGTGGTACCACTGAGAGCTTTCACATAGTGAGAAAGAGGGGAAATTATTGCCAGTAGATAGCTAGACTTGCCACAATTGGGGCCCAGAAGCAGTTTGGGTTGTTTCCAGAAAGCAGAATCTGGACTAAGTAATTCTCTGGGGTTCAGAAAAGGAAGGGCTGCATTCAGTGGTGCACTAGTAAATGTTTAACATCCAGCTAATGGGGGGGGTGTAGGGAGAGAAGTATACATGACACACTTTTAAGTTTAAAGTACATTATAAACATTTTTTCCATCACTTTCTTAAGTCTTGACAATCAACAAAACAATAAATCAAACCCTGATTTGTAGTTAGCTGATTTCTGAGGTGCAAATGCTCATACTGAAAATTTAACAATGGGCTCTGAGAACCTGTAAGAGCTGACTTAGCACATCCCTGGCTCTATTGTTCGGGTCTCTGAGAAGTCTCAGATGGGAATGTCTTTGTGTTGTTTCTCTGATGTTCTGTCCAGCAGGAAAGAGACTGGGGAAACCATTTATAACTGTATTCCTCCCTCCCCAGGTGTCTAGTATCTGAGGGAGGAAATTTGGGAGGTTATTTGTAAGGGGATGGCTTAGTCCGTGATTACAAAGCAACTTTGAGCCAGGTTAGGCTCAAAGTAATTGTCTGAGACTCTACCCAGTTACACCAGAGTAGGTTTGAAGGTCTGTGTTGTTGTTCATTTTTAGTTATGTCTGACTCTTTGTGACCCCATTTGGGGTTTTCTTGGCAAAAATACTGGAGTGGTTTGACATTTCCTTTTCCAGTTCATTTGACAGATGAGGAAACTGAGGCAAACAGGGTTAAGTGACTTGCCCAAGGTGACACAGCTAGTAAGTGTCTGAGGCCAGATTTGAACTCAGGAAGATGAGTCTTCCTGACACCATGCATGGCACTCTATCCACTGTGCCACCTAGCTGCCTTCTGCTGTATCAGAATTCTGATTTTATAATTTAGGGATTCCGTGATCATGGGATCATGGGATCCAGCTCAGGCTGGAAGGGACCTCAGGGACCATCTACTTATTTTGAAGCTGAAACTCAGAGAAGTTAAGTGATTTGCCCAAGGTCACAAGAGTAGGAAATATTACTGGAGGGAGTTGAACCCAGTGCTCTTTAGAGCATTGTTTAACTGATTTAGATTTCATAATAAGACTTTTCTTTTCCCCTATGGATGATATGAAAATTCCAGTGACCAGGGTGACATTGATGACTGGAATTTGAGTATACTTCTTGGTCAATTGATTAGCATTTATTAAGCACCTACTGTGTCAGGCCCTGAGCTAAGTACTGGAGATACAAAGAAATACAAAAGACAATCCCTGCCTTCAAGAAGCACATAGTCTACTGGAGGAGACAATATGCAAACAACTATGTACAAACAAGCTACTTACAGGATTAATAGGAAATGATTAACAGAGGAAAGGCACTGGAATTAAGAGACATTGGGAAAGGCTTCCTGTGGAAGGTGGGATTTTAACTGGGACTTGAAGGAAGCCAGGGAAGCTAGGAGGCAGAGATGAGGAGGTATACAGCACCAGGCATGGGGAACAGCCAGAGAACATGTCCAAAGCTGAAAGCCAGAGTGTCTTGTAATACAGACAGGAACTCAGTGTCACTGCATTGAAGAGGATGTGTTGGGAAGTAAGGTAAACACACCTGGGGTGAAGAGATGGAGTGTCCTGTTTAAGAAATACCAAGGATACAGGGCAACTAGGTGGTATGGTAGATGGAGCACTGGCCCTGCAGTCAGCAGGACCTGAGTTCAAATCCACCCTCAGATACTTGACATGTACTAACCATGTGACCCTGGGCAAGTCACTCAACCCCACTGCCTCACAAAAAAAAAAAAGCAAACCACCAAGGATGCCAGAGTCACAAGATGGAAGAGTGTGCAGGGTGTGTAAGGTGTAAAAAGCCTGGAAAGATGGGGGGAAGAGGCTTTGAACACTAAACAAAGGATTTTGTATTTGATCCTGGAGGTGATAGGGAGCCACTGGAGTTTATTGAGTGTGGGTGGGGGATAACATAGCCTGACTTGTGCTTTAGGAGGTTCTCTTGGCCTCAATTTGAGGATGTAAAGTCTTGACTATGTCACGTTTATTGATCATCAGAAAATTCTTCCTTATATCAAATCTCAATTTGCTTTTCAATTTCCATACATCGCTCCTAGTTCTTCCTTCCAGGACAAACTTAATTCTTTGTGTGGCAATCCTTCATATACTTATAGGAAGGTACCTTGTCCTCCCTAAGCCTTCTGTTTTCCAAGTTAAACATCCCCAGTTCAGTCATTCATTCAACAAGCATTTATTAAACATCTATGTATCAAGTGGTGTGGTAGGTGCCAAGGAGACAAAGACAAAAACAAAACAAATAGTCCCTGCCCTCAAGGAGGAAACGATTCTATTAGGAGGAAGCATCATATACACAGACAGACGGACAGACACACACACACACACACACACACACACACACACACAGAGTAATTTTCAGGAAGAAAATACTAGCAATTGGAGGAAGGACAGACCTTAGACAGTTGGTGGCACTTCAACTGAGCCTTAACGGAAACTAACATATGAGGCATTAGGTTGTAAGCTCCTTGAGGGCAGGGACTGTCTTTTGCCTCTTTTTGTATCCTCGGTGCTTATCACAGTACCTGCCACATAGAAGGTGCTTAATATATGTTTAGTGATCGATTGATGAAGTAAAAGTAAGAAGGGCTCACCCACTGTGAGCCATTCTGTGCAAACATGCAGAGACAGGAGGAGATAGAATGTCACCTACAGGAAACACAGAGTACATCATGAGGAGTATTGCACAATAAGCAAAATAAGGCTGGAGCCAGATTGTGAATGGCTTTCAATGCCCAAACTGAGAAGTTTTTATTTGGTCCTATAGGCATTGGGGAGCCATTGGAGGTCACAGAACAGGGGAGGTGGCATAGTCAGCACTGTGCTTTAGTTCTATCAATTTAGCATCTGGGTGGAGGACAGATTGTTGACAAGACACAGACCAGCCAACTACAAGGCTAGTGCAACAATTCAATCAATAAGCCAAGGTGGTGTCCGTGTGAGTGGGGAGAATGAGACTGGTCCTGGCGATTCTATGGAGCTAGAAATGACCACTTCCTTGAACAGATCCTCACATGCCCAAATTTGAGGCCTGTTTTTACCATCCTGATTGTCCTCTTCAGAATGCCCTCTAACTTGTCAATGTACTTCCTAAAATGTGGCGTGCAGAATTGAACACATTCTTGCAGATGTAATCTGACTAGGGCAGACTAAGTACAAAGGAAGCTATGTACACCATTAGTGTAGATTGAAGCGGAATTAGCAGCTAGGTGGCGCAGTGGATAGAGCACCAGCTCTAGAGTCAGGAAGACCCGAGTACAAATCTAGTCTCAGTTACTTAACTGTGTGACCCTGGGAAAATCACTTAGCCCTTGTTTACCAGTTTCCTCATCTATAAAATGGGGAGAATAATAGCACCCACCTCTCAGGGTTGTTGTGAGGATCAAATGAGATAATAATGATCATGCTTGACATATAGTAAGCCTTACATAAATGTTAGCTATTATTAATATTTTATGGCTACCACATCATCTGATTCACACTGAGTTTGTGGTCTACTAGATCTTTTTTCAATGAGCTGTGTCACATCTCCCCTATCTTGTACTTATGAAGCTAATTTTGGGGGGTTGTTGAATGAATAAGAATCCCCTAGAGGCAGATCAGTTTTGAACCACTGTAATGATAATTATTCATATTTACTTGGAACTCTAAAGTTTAAAAACTGTTTTCCTTGGGGCAGCTAGGTGGTACAGTGGATAGAATACTGGTTCTGGACTCAGGAGGTCCTGAGTTCAAATCCAGCCTCAGACACTTACCAGATGTGTGAGCCTAGGCTCACTTAACCCTGGTTGTCTTCCCCATCCTCCCCCCCTGCAAAAAAAAAAAAAAGATGCTTTCGTCACAACATCCCTGTGTGGCAGTACAAGTATTTATTGTATTTTGCTGATGAGTAAAAATGAATGGCTAGTGAGCATTGAAGCTTAAAGGGGTGGGTGCTCAGGTAGACTGAATCCAAGACCAGTGTTTTTTTTCTGCCATCTCTAGTTACCTTCCATCAAGATGCAGATCTGGTCCCACCTAGATCCAGGGGCTCTTGAACCAAAGAAGACCTACAGAGCTTTCCTTGAAGTGGCCAAACTCCAGGACAGCCTGGGAACCATGGCAGCCTCCCACAACACCCCTTTCAGGGATGGCAATTCAGGGCTACCCCAAACTGCAGCTGGACCTGGTCTCCAACCAAAGGTACCTGGCCCATCTGGTGATGGAGCAAGAAAGTCATTTGCACGGTTGGCCAAAAAGCATTTGATGCAGCATCCACTGATGTTCTGCATCTAACTAAAGCCCTTTCTTTTACCATCGTATGCATTCAGTACAGAGAGTCACAGTGGATAAAGGGTGTCAGGAAGACCCACAATCTAATCTCATGGCTCTTACTACTACCTGTGTTACCAGCCAAGTCACTTAATCTCTCTAATCCTCAGCTTCTTCATCTGTAAAAAGAGAGATTTGGGTGAGAGAGCCTCTAGGATTCCATCCCAACTCTAAATATAATGATCCTATGATCTTATGACCTCTCTGAGCCTCAGTTTCTTCACCTGCAAAATGGAGATAATAGAAACTACATCACAGTACTGTTGTGAGGATCAAATGCAGAAATATTTGCAAATTTACTTTGCAAATCTTAAAACATTATATAAATACTAGCTTTTATTATTATCTATAATAATAACACCTACCTCAAGACTGTACTGAGGTTCACATACAATCAGTATACATGAAGTACTTTGCAAACTTCAAAGTGCTATAAAAATATAAATTATTATTGAATTGAATTATTATTAAGGATTCATAGTCATATGATAAAGATTCATAGTCATGGTCATATTTAAGTTTTATGGCTTATAGAGCCCTTTCCTCCCAACAACTCTGTAAAGTAGGTAGTGTAAGTATTATTGTATCTATTGTACAGATGAGGAAACTGAGTTTCAGAGAGGTTCAATGATTTTCCCTGGGTCACACAGCTAGTGTCAAAATTAGATTTTTAACTTAAATCTTCAGGATTTCAGAACTGGTATACTTTTCACTTTATTATACAGGATAGACCCAAAAAATCTGCCTAAATGAGCTAAGTTCAATTTTAAAGAAAAGTCAGCCACTTAGAGACAAAAACCACACCACATGATGGAGTGGCACACATGTGATGTATAAGAAGATAAAGGAATGCAGAAGTTACCTCTTCTCCCTTGAGGGTGATGATTCTGGAGGCAGGGATCTTTGCTCGGGGCTTTGCCCTCAATAACTCCTCACAGCTCTTGCATTCTGCTCCATTTCCATAGAGCACTTGCAGTTTCCAAGTGGCTTCCTCCACTGCATTATCTCTGTCCCAAGACTCCTCTTCCCCGTCCTCCTCCTCTGGCCTTTGCAAGAGTTCAGTGAGGTTCCGCAGCTCCTCCTTCCACTCCTGTCGATGCAGACCAGGAGCACAGGCCTCAGGAGACAATCTCGGATCAGCAGGACAATTTGCTCTATCATCTCCCTGCCTTGTCCCCACAATCTTGTTTCCTTTCTGGGGAACCTTCTAGGTCTCACAGTCTAAGGAAGTGTAGGCTGTGCTGCGTTTGATGTGAATGTCGCTGGCCAAAAAACACAGAACTTTGGAGCTAGAAGGGATCTCAGAAGTCAGCTAGTCTAATCCATACCTAAACAGGAATCCCTTCTTCAACATATTCACCAAGCTGTCATACAGACTCTTCTTGAAAACTTCCAGTGAAGGAGGACTGATCACATCTTGAGGCAACTGGTTCTCACTATGAGAAAGTTCTAACTGTTAGAACTCAATACGAATTTCAAAAAGATCTGATTGCAAGGGACAAGATGGTGGAGTAGTAGGGAGAAGTACAACTGAATTCCCCATATAACACCTCCAAACAGATCTAAAAAAATGCATCAGAGTCCTGATTGAGGAATCCAAGAGGAGGACGGAGGAAGTCATTTTTCTAGCCTAGGTCAGCATAGGGAGATACATCTGTAGAGCTTGGGAACAGGAACAGAACATTCCATCATAGGGAAAGAACTAGCATAAGAAGAGGTTCCAAATCCAGCCAGGTACAGGAATAGGTGCCACTGGTAGCTTTCTTGTTCACTACCCAAGTCTGGGTCACAGACATAAGGATAACTAAGGAAGGGAATTGTGCCTAGGGTTGTGTTCTAGGATGAGGAGTGATTTGAGGGATACTTGGGCTGTGTACTAAGCAGGGAGAAAATTGAAAAGCAAGTAGCAACTGTATAGTTCTGACCCCCAGCGTAGAGCAGGGTCTCAGTTCCTTTCTCCGTCCCAGGCTAAAATCATCACTATAGTAATAAGGACAGGAATACCAGACCAAAGGGAAGCCTACAATTGTGTCATGATGAGCCAGCAGTTTTCCAATGGGCTGACAGTAGCTAAAGCTAGTCTATGGAACTAGTCTACTGGAACTCCAACCAGGGCAAGTCCATAGGTGTTTTTCTCAGATCCTAACCCAGCTCAGGAAGTTGTAAGGCTCAGTCCAGAGGTCCAACGATCAGACTGTCCTGAATCAGACTATGTTGGGATCACTGAAAGCTTGAAGGTCCCCAGCCTAAGCTGTCCCTGAGATCCTAGAATAATACAACATTCAACTCCCAAAGAAAGGAATAGCCCAGACCTTCCCTTCAGAAGTGTGCAGATCCTGACCCTAACAAAAGTCCAAAGTCAGAATATAGTCTGAGAAAATGAGCAAACAAACAAAAAGAACCCCACCATAAAAAGCTATTTTAGTGACAGGGATGCCCAAGACATATGAGGGGAATTGCTTGTTTTTCTACCCTACTTTCTGACTTTGGACTATGAAGGAGCAGAGAATTTAGAATATATTCCAGAAGGCAAAGAATAGAGGCTTACAACCAAGAATTACTCAGCAAAACTGAGTATAACCCTACAGGGGAAAAAGGACAAACAACTTTTAAAGACAGGAACTCTGCTCAACTGAATGACCAATCAGGGGACTCATTATGAAACATGCTCCCCACCTCCTGATAGAGATGTGATAGACTCAGAGTGCAATCTATCACCTATTTTTTGGACATGGCCAATGCAGGAATTTGTTTTGCTTATCTATGGATAATTATAAGAAGACTTTTGTTTTTGATTTCTTTCCCAATTTGGGGATGGAAGAAGGAGAGAAGGTGTGTTTTTACTGATTGAAAATAATAAAAATTAATTTAAAAAAAGATCTAGCAATTTTATTGGACTGCAAGAACAATATGAGTTAACAATACAACTTTTTTTTTTTTCAATCAGACCTGGTGAAGCCTAGGAATGCTTTCTCAGAATGATGTTTTTAAATTCATAAAACAGGGGACAGCTAGGTGGTGCTTCAGTACAGGGAGCTTCAAATGAAGAAACTCCTACCCAAGCAGATTGCTCTGTGACTTAGCATTTTGGAGGCTTTCTTTGTAAGAATGTAAAAGTTGTCTGCCATTGGACCTTATGATCTCTAATTTCCTCAGGAATAGTGAAATGACTTTCCCAGAGTCACATGGTGAGTTTGTGTCAAAAGTAGAACTTGAACCCAGGTCTTCCTGACTCCAGGGCCAGCTCTCTATCTAATAAGCTACCCTGCCTTTCACAATAGCATGATATGGCAGCCAAAAAAGCTAATATGGGAACTAAAAATAAAACAAAATGGAATTTTTTTAAAAAGCTAATATGACCTCACGGTGACATTAATTAAAAACAGCAATTCCAAGGATAAGGAAGTGATAGTTCCTCCATATTCTACCCTGGTCCAACCACATCTAGAGTACTGTGTTTTATTTGGAGAGCCACATTTTAGAAAGCACATTGATAATCTGGAGAATGTCTAGGGGAGAGAAAGCAGAATTGTGAGTGCCTTGAGTCCATGCCCTGTGAAGATCAATTAAAGAAATGAGATATTTAGCCTGAAGGGCCTATTATAACTGACTTAAAGTATTTGAAGTGCATATAGACAATGGATTAAACTTATTGTGTTTGGCCCCAGAGAGCACAATGGCTGGAAGTTGCGGAGGCAAATTTGGGTTTGATATCAGGAAAAACTTCTTAACAATGAAATCTATCCTCAGATAGAATGGACTGCCTTTGGAAAACCTTTAGCATTGGTCTTAAAGCAAAGACTTAATGATCATTCATTGAGTGTATTGCAGTAGGGGTCCTTTTTCAATTACAGATTGGACTTTTTGGCTACTGAGATTCCTTCCAACTCTGGATACTGTGTGGTTCTATGTGTGATCTTCTAGATCTATTCCATAAAGCCTCAGTTTCCTCACCTATAAAATTGAGAAAGTCAGACTCCATGACCTCTAAATTCCCTTCCAGCTCTAAAGGTAGGATTCTTTGATTGGCCTGTACCATTCCAGTAAAAATAGTTCTCATTCGAAAAGGCACAAACTCTCTTTATAATAATTTAAAAGCCAGCTACCATTTGTCCTTATGGTCTCCTAATTTCCCCAGAAATGTAGTAGCATCAGTATGAATAGTGGGTGCTCAGAAGGGGAGAGGAGCACTTACTTGGTCAGAAAGAAGATGGATTTTGGCCTCGTACTGTTCACAGCTGCCGGAGCTCACTTGGACTATGCAGGATGTGCAGACACTCTCTTCTGACACGGGTAGAAACATTGCTTGATGGATGATGGCATTAAGCAGGGAACTCTTGCCTGCTCCAGTTGCTCCAAAGAGTCCAATGTAGATGGGGTCCAAGGATGGTTTTTCAATCAGAGCAAGAAGTCGGTTTCTATAAGAATAAAACAGAAATGGATTTTTCAAAATGTTATTGATTTCTTTTTTATATCACAAAATACATCACCTTTGGAAAGGAAGGAAGAATAAAGGAAGAAGGGAAGGAAGGAAAGAAGAGAAAGAGAGAAAGAAAGAAAAGGGAGGGGGAAAGTGGGTTGTTTTTTTTCTAGTACATCAGTATATTCAATATATACAATATATACCATATTTTTACATCTCTACAAAGAAGGCAAAGAAGTACAACTTCTCATATATTTGCTCTGCAGCAAAACTTGGTTATTATAATTACCTAGTATTCAGATAGTTTCTTTTCTTTTTTTGTTCTATTTATATTATTGTAGTTATTGTAAAGCTGCTGAAGACCTAGAAAAGAAAGTTCTCACCACCAAAGTCCTTGACACTGTCAAATGACTTAATATCAGAGATAGATATGGTTTTATTGGTGGAAATGCCATTAAAGAAGGCTCATTTACCATCTGTTTTGGCACTGCACCATAAAGGATCATAAGGTCTTTCTAGATGACTTGCAGCTGAAACTTTCTATGCCTTCCCCATTAGAATGTGAGCTTCTGAAAAGGAGAGATTATCTTGCTTTTCTATATGTATCTCCAGTGCTTTGCACATAGTAAAAGCATAATAAATACTTTTTCACTCATTCATTGTGGATGTATATTCCCAGTGCTATTTACTAAACTATGTATCAGTTCACGTAATTCTTTCTATGCCTCTGAATTCTTCATATTAATAATTTCTTGCCATATGTTATTATTCTATTGCATTCTTGTTCCATGGTTTCTCTAGCCATTCTCCAATGAACATTTACTTTGATTCCAATTCTTTACTACTACAAAAAATGCTGTTATTAATATTTTGTTATACATAGAACTTTTCTTTTTATTTTTAGACCTTCTTGTGATATATCCCTAATGGTGGGATCTCTGGATCAAAGGGCATGAACATTTTGGTCAATTTCTTTGCCTAATTAGATCTCACATTTTTTTTTCATCTGAAAGGGTTGCCCCTTAAAGAAGAATTGGACTGAATCAGTGTACCTCCAAAGGGTAGAACTTCTAGAACAGGGGTTCTTAACAATTCAGAGGGTCCATGAACTAAGACAGGAGAAAAATCACATCTTTATTTCAATATAATTGGTTTCTTTTAAAATTCTAGGTATTTTGTTTTATGAGGCAATCAGGGTTAAACGACTTGCCCAGGTCAGCTAGTAAGTGTCATATGTCTGAGGTCACATTTGAACTTAGGTCCTCCTCACTCCAGGGCTGGTGCTCTATCCACTGCACCACCTAGCTGCCCCATTTTATGAATTTAAAAACATCATCTGAGCAAGCATTCCTAGGCTTCACCAGACTGCCAAAGGGGTGCATGACACAGATGAGGTTAAGGATCCTTGATCTAGACCTAAGAGTTGGAAGTGGCAAGGAGGAAGACTTTGACTCAATATGAAGAAGAAATTTCTCACAATTAGAACTGTCCAGAAATAGAATGGGCAGCTAGGTGGCTCACTGGATAGCATGCTAGACCTGGACTCAGGAAGGTCTGAATTCAAATACAATCTCAGACACTCACTAGCTGTGTGACCCTAAGCAACTCCCTTTCCTCTATCTGACTCAACTGTAATAATAACACCTACTTCTCAGTGTTGTTGGGAGGATAAAATAAGATAATATTTATAAAGCACTTTGCAAATCTTAAAGTGATATATAAATGAGAGCTATCATTATTGTGAGGGAGGGTGTTCCCCATCACCAGAACTTTTCATGTGAATGTCCAGTCAGGGTGCTGTAGAAATAACTCCAGCATTGGGTTGAACTTGGTCCCTGATGGCCTGTTCCAACTATAAGTTTATATGCATCTGTGACATATTGCTTTGTCTTATCTACACAAAGATAAAATGATGGTAACAATAACATGGTTTCTAGAGTAGAAGAAGTAGCAGCAGATGCCCCACCTCAAGACCAAAATCTGGGTAGAAACTCCTTCCTGATTCCTCCCTCTTCCCTCACTGTCTGTTTTCAAGTTCCTTCCTCTCTTACATTCCCCTACTCCCAACCTGTGTAAGACACAAACAATCCATTTTAAACACACAGACTCACATGAGATACTTGACCCCACCAGGGATGCCATCCTCCAGGAAAGCAGATTGGATAAATTTCTGGTAAGTGTTACTCAGAACCCTCCTTGTTCTTAACTCCAGCTTTTCATCTAGAATAAGTAGACAATATGCTTACTACCTGGCATATATGGTTGAGGACCAAAGCCTGGCTCCCTAAGAGTGAAGGTTGAGAGGGAAGGTAGGGGTAGAGAATGAGCTTTCCTGAATATTATTGTAACTCTAGATCAAGTAGTCTCTCTCACAAAGACCAAATATTGTTACTTTATAATTAAAAGGGTAATAGAATTTTAAGAAGGCTGACAGCTTGTCATTCTTTGAGGAGTCTGTGAAAAGACTTTAAGAGTTAACTGTCATCTTGTGAGAGTGGGAGGTTAAGGTAACTGTCATCTTTGAGAGAATATGGAGGAACATCCTAAGGAAAAAATATGCTGTGGAAAAGAAATCCTGAGAAGAATTCTTGAGAGATTTTGACGATCATCCTGAGAGAGTTGCATTGTTGTAGACAATGTTTCCTATGCTGAGGAAAACTCAGCAGTTAAAGTCAGCTGGTTTGAGGTAACTCCAGATGTACTCTTTTTCACAATTGATACATTATTGAATTATTTAAATGTGTCTTTGTGGGGTTTTGTTACATTGCTAATAAATTATATAACCAATAGTATCCATGTTTATCTAATGCCATAAGACTGAGATTGGATACCGAAAGAGGAGAGAGAGGTTACGGGAGCTCAGAGCTAATTGGCTAATTAATTAAAGATATTACAGTTTTAGTAATTGATGAGAAAATATCAAGAGAATAAAAAAAAATAACAAAGGAGCAGGCTGAGGGGTAGAGGTTGATGTGTTTGCCACTAAAAGCACGTTGCTACACACAGCAACGTACTAAGCCGTGAGAGTGATAACATTATTTGTTAGCAAAAAGCTCACCTCCATGTACAGGGATTACCTCTACGTGTACCTTCTGTCTGTGTGAGGCTCAGCTATAAGCCTGACATATTATTAAAATAAGTGAATAAATAAATGATTTGAATAAATATATATATATAAATAAAAATAAAATAAATGCAAACCAACTAAGCTCAGTAAAACCATCTGGCACATGGAAACACCACAGGAATTTTCTCAAAGAGTTTCCATGCTAGGAAAAATACAAAGACAATGTGATACTGTGAAAAGGGTGCTGAATTTAGATCCAGAGGACCTAGGTTCAAATGTTGGCTCTGCTACTACCTGCATGACCTTGGGCAATTTTTTCATCTGTACAGTGAGGGAAATCAGCCTAGCTAACCTTAGTCCTTACTCTATGTTCAGTTTCCTTAAGCTAGTGATATAGAAAGGTTTCCATCCAAAATGATAAAAGGACAATGATTTTTTAAAGTTTGGGCACCCATTAGCAAAGTTGCAGGTTAAAAAATAAACCCACATAAATCATTGACATTTCTATATGTTACCAACAAAGCCTAACAGCAAGAGATAGAAAAAGAAATTCCATTTAAAGTTACTGTATACATTATAAAATATTTAGGAGTCTACTGCCAAAACAAACCCAGGAATTATATGAACACAATTACAAATCACTTTTCACATAAATAAAATCAGATCTAAATAACTGGAAAAACATCAGTTGCTCATGGGTAGGCTAAGCTAATATAATAAAAATGACAATTCTACTTAAGTTAATTTACTTATTCAGTGCCGTAACAATCAAACTACCAAAAAAATTATTTGATAGAACTAGAAAAAAATAAAAACAAGATTCATTTGGAAGAACAAAAGGTCCAGAATATCAAGGGAACTAATGAAAAGAAATGCTAGGGAAGGCAGCCTAACCATTCCAGATCTTAAATTGCATTATAAAGCAGCAATTGTCAAAACTACTTGGTATTGGCTAAGAAATACAGTGATGGATCAGGGGAATAGGTTAGGTATGCAAGACATAGTAGTCAATAACTATAGTAATCTACTGTTTGATAAACCCAAAGACCCCAGCTTCTGTGATAAGAACTCACTATTTGACAAAAACTGCTGGGAAAACTGGAAAAGAGTATGGCAGAAACTAGGCCTAGACCAAAATCTTACACCATATACCAAAATAAAGTCAAAATGGGTACATGATTTAAATATAAAGGCTGATACTTACATAAGCAAACTGGGAGAACAAGGAATAGTTTACCTGTCAGATTTATGGAGACCAGAAGAATTTATGACCAAACAGTATATAGAGAACATTATGAATTGCAAAATGGATAATTTTGATCACATTAAATTGAAAAGTTTTTGCACAAACAAAGCCAATGCAACCAAGATTAGGAGGGAAGCAGAAAACTGGGAAAGAATTTTTACAAACAGTGTCTCTGATAAAGAACTCATTTCTAAAATATATAGAGAACTAAGTCAAATTTATAAGAAAGCAAGTCATTCCCCAATTGATAAATGGTCAAAGGATATAAATAGACAGCTTTCAGAGGAAGAAATTAAAGCTATCTATAGTCATATGACAAAATGCTCTAAATCACTATTGATTAGAGAAATGCAAATCAAAACAACTCACACCTATCAGATTGGCCAACATGACAAAACAGGACAATGGTAAATGTTGGAGAAGGTATGGGAAAATTGGAACACTAATGCATTGTTGGTGGAGTTGTGAAATGATCCAACCATTTTGGAGAGCAATCTGGAACTATGCCCAAAGGGCTATAAAAATGTGCACACTCTTTGACCCAGCAATAGCACTTCTATGGCTGTATCCCAAAGAGATCATAAAAATAGGGAAAGGACCCACATGTACAAAAAGATTTATAGTAGCTCTTTCTGTGGTGGCAAAGAATTGGAAATTGAAGGGATGCCCATCAATTGGAGAATGGCTGAACAAGTTGTGGTATATTAATGTAATGGAATACTATTGTGCTGTAAGAAATAATGAGCAAGTGGACTTCAGAAAAACTGGGAAAGATGTGTATGGACTGATGCTGAGTGAAAGGACCAGAACCAGGAAAATATTGTGCACAATTAACAGCCACATTTGCATTGACTCACTTTGATAGACTTAGCTCTTCTCAGTAATGCAAGGATCTAAGACATCTCTAAAAGTCTCATGATGGAAAATGCTATCCACATCCAGAGGAAGAACTATGGAGTTTGAATGCAGATCAAAGCATACTATTTGCTCTTTTTTTTTCTTCTGTTTTGTTTTGTTTCTTCTTTCTTGTGGCTCCTCCTGTTGGTTCTAATTCTTCTTTACAACATGACTAATGTGAAAATGTTTAATAGAATGTATATGTAGAGTCTATATCAGATTGCACATCATCTTGGGGAGGGAGGGGGAGAAAATTTAAAATTCAAAAGTATATTAAAGTGATTATCGAAAACTAAAAATAAGTTAATAAAAAAAAAGAAAGGAGTCAATCCAAAAAAAAAAAAAGTTTGAGCACCCAAAAAGGTAAATCCTTAACAATCCAGAGTGATTAATTCTCTAAGAGCTCTGGATAGTTGAAGATTTACTGTAATCAGAACAAAGAAAAACAACTTTTTGCTAGATCTCTATTTACAAAAAATAGTCCCCGAACACTTAGTAAAGTTTCCCAACATTGGCATCTTTCATTTACAATCAGTATCCATTATTAATTCACTATTGATTAATTAATTTGCATTTGTTAGGCAAATCCTATAAGAGTTGGTTAAATGTTCCTACAAACAACTATTCAGATGGCTGGCATCAGATAAACACACAGACTATATAGGTTCTAACAGCTTAGATCAAGTGGCTAAGCCTTTCATTTGTGTAACTTGCTAAGTATCTGGGCACTTAACAGCTGATCTAGTCAAATACACTTTTTAAAATAAAAAATATAATTCTATTAAATAATAAAAAATTGAAATAGTAATAACAATAGCTAGTGTTTCTATACTGCTCTATGGTTTGTAAAGCACTTTACAAATATTATCTCATTTTATCCTCACAACACTACTGGGAGTTAGATGCTATTTTTATCCCATTTTATAGATAAGAGAAACTGGGGCAAATAAAGGTTAAATGATTTGCCCAAGGTCAATCAATGAATAAACATTTATTAAGTACCTACTGGTTCCAGGCTCTGTGCTAAGACCTGGGAATACAAAAAGAGGCAAAAGATTCTCTGCCTCAAGGAGTTTACCATCTAATGAGGGAGACAAATATATGCAAAATATGCAAGCAAATATTTACAAAGCAAAAATATCCAGGATAAATAGGAAATAATGAACAGAGCTTCTGTCCAGAGCACTGGAATTAAGATGGATTGGGGAAGGCTTCCTGTAGCAGACAGGATTTTACCTGGAACTTAAAGGAAGCCAGGGACACATAGTGAGGCTGTGTCTAAGGTTGGATTTAAACTCAGATCTTCCCAACTCCAGGTCCAGCTCTCCATCCACTGTACCACTTAGCTAGTCCCAAATTAGTAAAATTTTCATTAAAAAAAGTAAGATTGTAAACAAATTGTAAAGAAATACAAACCTCTAAGCACAAGTTAAAGACCTTATCTTCCTAGACTTTAGTTATTACTAATCACTCTTTAATTTAATTTAAATTTAATCTAATTTAATTTAATCTACTTTTAGGTTAACTTCCTAGGCTAAAACAGAGTTCACTCTCACCTCCTTTCCTTAGGGTGGCACTGTTTAGGTGTTTGGCACAGCTCTGCCTACAAATCTGCTGAAGGAAGCCTTAACTCCTTTTTGTGACTGATTTAGAAGTATTAATCATCCCTGAAACTCTCAAGGAAAGAACATGCTGAGAAGAGTGTTAAAAGATTATTCAGTGGTTTTCTCATACTCACACTCCTTAAGAGCACTTTGTTCTGCTGGAGGAAACACTCGGCACTTCTGATCTAATCTTCTCCTCTTTCTTGGTGATCCTTTGAATAGAGCTTTATCAAATAGAGGTAGACAAGAGTTACAAGGTATTCCAGGATATTAGATTTCTGAGGCTCTTTTGACATCAGCCTTTGTGCATTCAGGACCTTATGGCCTGAGAAAACCCTGGTCATACTTTCCTGTATTCTCCATGTTGGGACACCATAGGGGCACATTCTAGTTAGGAACCCTCTAGCCTGGCTTTTCCAGAGAGATTCCCTCCCCACCCCCATACCCCCACCCCCAGTCCCCGCCCCCCATCAGTCTCTTCAGAGATTCCACCACAAATTGGATTCTAATGTCCACTCTACCATTTGATACCTGTGAGATCTTAAGCAAATCACATCTCTCTGGGCCTTCAGTTTCCTCACACATTATAAAATGAGATGTTGGACTAGCTGACCTTTAAGGTCCCTTTCAATTCTTTACTTAGAATTCTGTGATATCTTTCAAGTAGCTTAGAGTTTCACTCTTACCCTAGGTTTCTAAGGAACCCAGCTCCAAGTAGGGGTCCAGGATAGACCAATGGGTAGGATGGGATAGTACAGGCTAATCGACAGACTATAGTCCTTTGGGGAGCCTAAGTCTAAGGAGGTTTTTCAAATTTGTGGAGGCATCTGACTGAGCCCACCCAGCAACTATAAGTAGGCTATCAGATTCCTCCACAAATCTGTAAGTTTAAGGAAAGTCCTTCATTCATTCAACAAGCATTTGTTAAGAAACTTCCATGTGCCAACCATTACTATAGTCCAGGATACAAAGACAAAAACAGCCCCTGCCCTCGAGAAGCGTACAGAGCAAAGTTTCCAAAATTTATTTGGCCTATTTGGCCTACTGCCGCCCTTTAAAACAAAAATTACTCAGCACCTCTCTGAACACCTACTTTCTTTAACCCTTAATGCTTTTCAAAAAATATATAATTTTTTTAAATGATGCATCTTAAATTTAATAATTTATTGTAAATTTGTGGGTTTTTCCTACATTGAAATTTTGATGACACAATGTTGCATCATGTAACTGTATAGTGTTGTATTGTGAACAAATCACTACCACACATATTCCTGCAAATACATGCTGAACTTTCCGACAATATACGACTCGCTGACTTGCCAACACTTGATTGTTAAGACCTGTGGCAGACTTGACCACTGATAGGTTATAACTTGCATCTTGTGTGTTTATTTGAAAAATAATGTAATCACTATGACCAACTCTGTTACACAACAGATGAAACATGTACAAATGCTTTCTCAAAATTTTCTTCTCTTCTTTCCTTATGCTTCCACCACCCCCTTATTTTTATTCAATGACTCCCAATTGCATCTGAGGCTATTAACAACCCCAGGGTCAGTCCAGTGCCCCCCAGGGAACGGTATTGCCCACTTTGGGAACCTATGTAGAGATGGGGGTGATGTGTACACAGAAAAAAATCAACGTAAAATAAATACAAAATAAATGTAATTTTCTGTGCACTGACAACCACGGTCATGAAAAGAGACTTCATATAGGAGGTAGCTTCTTGGCTCAGTCTGGAAGGAAACTAGAAATTCTAAGAGGTAGAGATGAGCTAAGAGTGCATCCCAAGCATGAGGGCACACACAGCCTGTGCAAGAGATGGAATGCCATGTCCAAGAACATCGGATAGGCCAGTTTGGTCAGATGGGGAGTGCTGTGTAATCATCCTGAAAGATAGGCTGGAACCAGATTGGCAAGAGTTTTAAAAGTTAAACTGAGGAATTTATATTTGATCTCCTAAGAGCAATAGGGAACCACTGGAGTTTCTTGAGCAGGGTAATGATATGACTAGAACTGTGCTTTAAGACTGTCAATTTAGCTAGGGTAGAATACCTAGGAATTGGTCAAGAGTCAAGGTTCTCCAAAGTAATTCAGAGTAGTTTAAGAAGTGCCAGGGGTTTCCCGTGACTACTCTGAGAGGAACTAGCAAAAAGGTACAAAGCCCAGAGTCCAACCAAATATCCACCCAAATTGTTTTAAGACATGCCACTAGAATATCTCAGCCACTTTAGCACCATGAGGTGTCAAGGCTGGAAATTTCATCATCCCTAATCTCAATTGCATAAGCCAGGAACAAATCTAAAAAGTTTGGGTACTTATTTCTCAACTAATATGAAATTAAAGGGAGTACATAGTAAAGTGACTAGCGTGCTGGACTTGGAATCAGGAAGACCTGAGTTCACCTCATCTCTCACTTAATAGTTGTCCGACTTTAAGCAATTTAGTTAACTTCCTTGGGCTTCAGTTTACCCATTTATAAAAATGGGAACTTAATTTATAAAAATAGCACTTAATTCACAGGGTTGTTACAAAGGTCAAATGAAATAATGTATTAAAGTACTATATAAATGTGAGCTATTATTGACTCAACTCTTTAAAATATCCACCTGGAAAAATCAAGAAGGTGGGATATTATGGTGAAAACCATCCATCTTTTATTTTAAGCCATTTTGGCTAATAACCCAAATAAAGAGTTGTCATTCCACAGCTATAAATCTGAATAAAGGCGTAGGAAACACAGAATCCTAGAATCTAAGAGATAGAAGAAACCTCAGGAACCATTGATTGTAGATGAAATCCATTACAACTGTGAGAGATGATCTCTGAGAATCTCTCAGGAATGAAGCCTCCTCAGGGAGTTAATAGCTTCTTGTTCTGTTGAAACACTTGCAAGTGGTTGACCTTGTAAAGAAACATGCTTTTCAACACATCTTGTACTTTATCAGACCTCCTCCTCCCTTTCTAAAACTATTTACTCTAAAAAGAAAAAGAAAACCTCCCGCTTTTCCCTATCTCCAGGCAAGTGGTAAAAGTGTCTGTTCTTTTTTGCTGGGGTAGATTGCCTTGAATAGATTGTACCCTCAGAGCTTGCATTAATGAGCCCTGAGGAGGGGGCTGGGAAAGGGGATTGCGCTAGGACCTATATAACCTGTTGATCTGAACACACCTCCGCTCTCTTCGGTCAGCGCCAATTTTTTTGGTGTTCTGAGAGAGTCCTTTCTCGAGAAAGCTAATAAATGAATTTTTCTTTTTGCTAATATCTCTGAGTCTCCGATTCATTGATAAGGGTCTCTATACCCCGTACACAACCACTTCAATATGATGGTATAGTGAGAATTGGTCCCTACTCAGTACTTTAGATATAATACCATCCCCCGAATTGGTCCAGCCCTAAGAAGGGATAGAAGGGAAACCAACAACACATGACACCTAAATGTGGCTCCTGGCTGACAAAGTCCTCGGCCTCTGCCATTTGATGCAGCTGGTACTCTTGCCTCTGTCTGTAAATTCAACCTTGCCTGGGCAGGTATACACAGGGTCTAAGAACAAACAAAGAAAAAACAATATGAACCATCAATAGAAATAAAGAACTATTAAATGTCTGCTTCTGCTTTGTCTCTCCGTTTGGATTGGAAGCTCCTTGAGGGGATGCAGGTTTATTCATCTTTGTATAATTGACACTGGCCTCCTTACAAAATACACTCCACATCCCAACTCTAAGTATGTTTACTGGCTGTCCTTTACTCCTGGAATGCTCTCTCTCCTCATCTCCAATTCCTAAATTCCCGGCCTTCCTTCAAGTCTCAGCTAAAATCCCACCTTCTGCAAGAAGCCTCTTCTGTTCCCCTTTAAAGTTAGTCCCTTCCCTCTGTTTGGTGATCTCTAATTTATCTCGTCTATAGCTTGTTTACACAGTGGTTTGGGTGTTGTCTTCTCGAATAGACTGTGAGCTCCTTGAGGGCAGGGATTGTCTTTTGCCTTTTTTTTCCATTCCCAGTGCTTATCACAGTACCTGGTAAGTAGTAAATATTTAATAAATGTTTGTCAAGTTGCTGACTTGACTTGTATACCTAATAATACCTAACACAGTGCTAAACACATAAGCTCCCCCCCCAAAAAAGTACTTGATCTTTTTATTTATTTAAATTTTATCTCCTCTGATAGAATATAAACTTCTCAAGGATAGGGACTATTTTATCTTTGTCTTTGCATCTTCAGAAACTAGTAAAGTGACTGGTACATGTAGGCCCATAATAAACACTCACCAGATTGACAGATTGATTGAGGATGGGGCTTGAATATGACAAAAAACAAGCTGCCAATCTGATTGACTAGTGACTTTCAGCTGTGAAAATCTTCATAGAACAAGAATGAGAGACAACAGATGGATGACCCGAAGGCTACTTTGGAACCCTAGTCCAGGGATTAGAGGGACAAAGGGAACCCTCCAGCATACTAGGTGGATAGACCTTTTAATAATAATAATCATAACAATAAATGGCATTTATATATTTGAAGTTTACAAAGGATTTTACACACATTATTTTATTTGACCATCACAATCACCCTATGAGGTAGGTATTACATGTGTTCACAGAATCACAGAACCTAGAATTGGAAAAGACCTCAGTGGCCATTTGGCTCAATCCCTAATGAAAAATAATTCCCACTACAACATACCTGACAAGACAGAAATAGTTACCAGTTATATTACACATCCATCTCAATGTAGTTATTTGGGTTTGAATTTATAAAGAGTCTTGAGTTCATATAAGGATTGGATTGTTTTTTACATATGCATATTCTCTTTGCTTAAATCAGCCAAGATCCACTTTCTCACTCTCCCATTCCAACACCTCCCCTTCCAACTGAGAACATGAGAAAAACAAAACACATTATAAACATGTATAGTCAATCAAAACAAATTTCCACGTTGGCCATGTCTAAAAAAATGTTTTGCCTTGTTCTTCATTGAGTCCTTCACCCCTCTATCAGGAGGTGGGTAGTATGTTTCATCATTAGTCCTCTGGAATCTTGGTTGGTCATGATGCTTACTAGAGTTCAATACATCACATTTATATGTCATAACTTGTTCAGTCATTTCCCAATTTATGGGTACTCCCTCAGATTCCCATTCTTTGCCATCACAAAAAGAGCTATAAACATTTTTTGTTCATCATTATAGTTTGTTCTGCTTGGGATTCCTTGAGCCCCCTACCTTAATATACCCTCCCTCTCATCCTTCCTAACCCCTTCTCCCCTTTATGTCCTAATCTCCTGTTGAGTAAAACGGATTTTTTCCCCAACTGTATATGTGAGTATTCTTCCTTCTTTGGATCAGTTCAGATGAGAGTGAGGTCCAAATGTCAGCTGTTTCCCCCAGCCCCTCTTCCTTGTTTGTATAGATATCTACTTGGGCACCCTGATTATATAATATAATTTTCTCTATCCTTCCTTTCCCTTTCCCCCTAGTGTATTACTTTTTCCCTCACTTTCTTTTCCATCTTTTCTTAATATCATCAAGATATAACAAAACCACTCCCAGTTCCATTAGACTTCCTCTATGAATCCTGATGATGACAGAGTGCAAAGGAGATATCATCTCCCAATATTTGAATGTCTTTAGTTTTTTATTATTGTTTATTCCTCTTTACCTTTTAATCCTCCTCTTCATTCCTGTGTTAGAACTTCAAAATTTCTCTGCATATCTGGTCTTTTCATTAGGAATGTTTGAAAGTTCTCTATTTCATCAAAAGTCTCTTTTTTTTCCCCTATAGGAGTTTACTCCCTTTCACTAGGTAAGTTATTCTTGGCTATTAACCAATATCCTTTGCCTTCTGGAATATGGTATTCCATGTTCTCTGCTCCTTTATAGTGGTGGCTGCTAAATTGTATGTGATTCTGAGTGTGGTTCCTTGGTACTTGAACTCTTTATTTCTGGCTGCTTGCATTGTTTTTTTCTTTGACCTGGAAGTTTTGGCTTTTGGCTTTTTGGTTCCTAGGAGTTTTCATTCTGGGATTTCTTTCAGGAGGTGACTGGTGGATTCTTTCTATTTCTACTTTGCCCTCTGATTCTAAGAGATTGTGAATTTTTCTTTTATGATTTCTTGAAAGAGGGTGTCCAGAGTCTTTTTTTTTTTTTTGGTCATGGTGTTCAGATAGTCCAGTGATTCTTAAATGTTCTCTCCTCAATCTGTCTGCCAGATCAGTTATTTTTGTTGTGAGACACTTCACATTTTCTTCCATTTTTTTAGCCTTTTGACTTTATTTTTGTATTTTTTTGTTGCCTCATGAAGTCGTTGTGTTCAATTTGGTACATTTGAATTTTCAGGAAGTTTTTTACTTGCACTGGAGATGTCTATTTTGCCTCCCTTGAAGTTGCACAATGATATCCCCGTGCTATAGGTGAAGAAAGCCTCACTATATATAAAAATTTATATATGTATATTTTATATACTATACTATATATTTATATATAACATATACATATACTATATACTATACTATATATGTAAAACTATATATAAAAATATAAAAAATTTTAAAACCTTTTTTTAAAACTCTTATTTCATCTCTTATAGAAATTCTGGTTGAGTTTGTGCCCAAGTTGCATTTTTCTCTTGTAGATATTTCTTGCTTATGGATCTTCTGGAGTCACTTTCTTCTTCTGCCTTTATGTCTCCATGTTCTTGCTACCTTAATAGCTCATTATGACATCATTCTTTTATTCTTTGCCTGTTCTTCTGCCTATTTCCTGACTTTGGATTTGATGTTAGGGCTGAGTTCTGCCATACTTCTGGAGGGAAGGGACTGGTTCTGTTGCTGCTTTCTCTGGGTATTCAATGTTGTATTATTCCAGGATCTTAAGGAGAGGCTAGGAACTTAAAAGCTTTCAGTGATCCCAAAAGGATTTGATCTAGGCTCTAGATCCAAAATCCAAACCTCACACCCTTAATAAAAGGATCTGTTCTGTAAAATTTGAACTCAGTCAAAAGGCCACACCCAAGGACCTAGAAGGCCATGTGTGGCCTCAGGGCTGCAGGTTCCCCACCCCTGGCTAGGGAAAAGTCTGATTATCACCTCCTTGTTCTGAACTCTACAAGTTCCTGACCTAGGCTCAGGTCTGTGCTCATGTACGGTTCTGTCAGACTCCACACCTAACAGCCAGCAAGAAAGTTCTATTGGTTCAAAGTAGAAGAACTGTAGGTTCCCTTTGGTCTGGGTTTCCTGTTTTGGTTATTTCTCTACAGGCTGGGCTAGATGCTGGAAGTGAGACCCTGCTATGAGCTTTGGGTCTGAGCCACACCACTGCTAAGGCTGGCTTCTGAACTTCCTCCGTTCTTAGTATACCACCCAGGACCTCCCTGGGAAGGACAACACCCCTGCTGTGCTGTGCTGTGTGTGGGTCTCCTCACTTTGCTTTGAATCTGCCACCCAGAATTGAGTAGTGGGCAACAAAGCTGCCAGTTGACACTTGTCCCCGTTGAAGATCCCCAGTATGAGTCTGGACCTCCTTTTGTGCTGGTGCACAACCTGTCCCTGGGCACCAAATCGCTCCACATGGCATGTGCTCCTGTCCTGACTTTGTTCCCGGTGTCTGCAGACTTCTCTGTCTCCATATGCCAACCTGGGCCAGACAAAGGACTCACTGACTTTTTCTGGATTCCTTCTTCAGGATTCAGTCTAGTGTATTTTGTGGATTTGTTTGGAGTTGTGAACAGGAGCTCACTTGCATTGCTTTCCTCTATTCTACTGCCTTCCAAAAATCTAAAGAATGGTTTAAGAAACTAGGGGTGTTTAGCCTAGAGAAGAGAAGACTGGGAGATGTGATAATAGTCTTCAAGTATTTGGAGGGCTGTCATGAAGGACAGATTAGATTTGTTTTGTTTGACCCCAGAGGGTAGAACACAGGTTTTTGTTGTGGTTCAGCTGTTTTCAGTCATGTCTGACTCTTTGTGACCCCACTTGGGATTTTCTTGGCAAAGATACTGGAGTGGTTTGCCGTTTCCTTCTCCATCTCATTTTACAAATGAAGAAACTGAGGCAAACAGAATTAAATGACTTGCCTGGGGTAACACAACTAGTAAGTGTCTGAGACTAGATTTGAACTTAGGGAGATGAGTTTTCCTGACTCCAGGTCTGGCACTCTATCCATTGCATCACCTAGTCGCCCTAGAACACAGGTAAAAATTACCAAAAAAGCAATGTAATAAATCAGTATCAAATTTATTTCTTAATGTTAGGAAAAACTTACTAACAATTTGAGCCATTCAAAAGTGGAATGGGCTGAGTGGTGTAGTAGGGAAAGCACTAGACTTGGCATCAAGAAGTCATGTGATCAAATCTCACCTCAGATACCTACTAACTTTGGGACCATGGGTAAATCACTTACTCTGACTCAGTTTCCTCATTTGTAAAATGAAGGCATTGAAATCAATGGCCTCTAAGCTACTTTCCAGGTCTAAATCTATGATCCTAAAATTTAGCTTTAAGGGGTATTGGATTCTTCCTCCTTGAAGATCTTTCAGCAAAGGCTAGATGACTAATTCTCAGTTATGTTATAGTGGGGATTCCTTTCATGTATGTTGGATTAGATGGGTTGGATTAGATGCTTGCTGAGGTCCCTTCCAAAACTCAAATTCTGTCATTCTGTGATTATACTTTGTGTCATATTCCCCTATTAGACCATAAGGTCTATAAGAGCAGGGATCATGTCTTAGACAAAACTTGTGTATCCCCCAGTGCTTAGAAAAGTGTTCTCTGTATACTAAACAATTAATAAATGTTTGAGAAATTTAAAAAGACAATAGGCATGGTGGCCCTGCTACTGGAGAGGCTAAAACTGGTGAGTTCAGGAGTTCTGAGCTGCAGTAAACTAAAGCAATCAGGAGTCTAAATTAGGCAGCTAACTGACTCAGGTCAGAAACAGAGCAGATCAAAACTTCCATGCTGATCAGTAATGTGTTTGGAAAGGAAGGAAGAGAGGAAGAGAGGAAGAGAGGGAGAGTGAAAGAAGAAAGGAAGGAAGGAAGGAGGGAAGGAAGGAGGGAAGGAAGGAAGGAAGGAAGGAAGGAAGGAAGGAAGAAAGGCAGGCAGGCAGGCAGGAAGGAAGGAAGGAAGGAAAGAAGGAAGGCAGGAAGGAAGGAAGGAATTTTTTTAAAAGAACCCAGAAATTCCTCTGAGTTCTAGATCCAGCCTGACCTAGGCCAGGCCCTATACCTTGAGCAGCACCAAGGTGTGGAGAATTAAAGGTGGCTTCTCCTTTCCTCCTTGAATTTCAACATTAAATTATAAAAAGTAGCAATAGGAGATAAGGAAACATGTAGTGCTCCCTTTCCTTGAACGCTCAAAGGGGAGCCATGGAGAACAAGCCCAGACACCAGAGTGATTCCTTATTCAAGTCCAGCCCTTCTGTTTCCAGTATAGTATCTCAGAAGCAGGAAGCCACTGACTTCTGAAATATGCAAACCTTTACCTGACCTAGCCACCCTTTGCTAGCAACAGACCATGACACCTCACTTGAACAATGGAGCAATTTTTTTTTTTAAATCACAGTTCAGTTTCACACTTTTTGCCTGTGACTTCTCTAGGGGTTTCACCCTGTGGTTTTTAATCAGGTAGACAAAACTATTTTCTTAATTGAATACTTCCAACTCTCAAAGTCCTGTGAGTCTTAATTTTATCACTTGTAAAAAAAAAAAAAAAGAAGAATGGATTTTCACTACCTACTCAGGGTTCTTGTGGCCATCTATTGAGATGGCAAGGTTTTTGTAAAGCTAGATGAAACATATGGTAAAATAGCTATGCCCTCACTGAACCATCAAGCCCTGTGGCTCAAGTCAACCTAGCTTATAAAGCTGAAAAGCTGAGGTGAGTAAAGGGACAAGGAGAGATGGGAGGTAATAATAATAATAATAATAATAATAATAGTAATAATAAATAATAAGATAGCACTTTAAGGTTTACAAAGCATCTTAGAAATATTTCATTTTATCTTCACAATGACCCTGGGAGCTATTATCATCCCTATTTTTTATAGATGAGGAAACTGAGGCAGACAGAAGTTAAGTCACTTGTCCAGGGTTACACAGCTAGTAAGTGTCTGAAGCTGGATTTGAACTCTGATCTTCTTGATTCCAGGTCCAGTGCTGTAACTACCATGCCACCTAGCTGCCTCTGGCATACCATTAATCCCCAGATACAAGCTGACATAACAATCAGCACCCAGAAATGGAATCACAAGGTCAAAAAGACACAAGAGTAGAAGGATGGCTGGCTCTCCCAGCCAGAGCCTCCCTTTGGGTCTGCTCCCTGTGCTCCATAAGCAATGAGCTAAGAACAGGAAGCTGTCAGATGTCCCTGATAACAACAGGATACACACTGGGGGAAGTATCAGTTGTAAAAGCTTTATCTGCACCAAGGCTCTTCCAAATTCATGCCTTGTGCTGTGAAAAGGAGCCAGCATCTAGATCCAGAATTCCTGATTTCTCCATTTAATTACATGCTCTACTGATGCTATGAATGGAACATTAGTTAAGATACTGTGTCATATTTTCTGCATTCTTTTGCCTGCTCCTAGGAAGCAAAGCTATAGGTAGGCAAAATGAACTGTGTCTTTCCTGAAACTCCTGGATTCTGAGCATGTCTGTATACTGTCCAGGGAGGGCCTGGGTCTAAGAGAAGCTTGAGTTCACCACCTTATGGTGGCTGTTCTATTACATACTGCTTTTATTATATCTATGCAAAGAAAAAAACCTGGCACACAACCAAGGGTGACTTTACATGGCAGATCAACTTCATTATGCTGTGGTTGTATCAGTAGAGTTTAATGAAAAAGAGCAAATTCAGGGAAGCAACAGGCTTCTTCACTAAGTGAGGGTTTAGAGCTTGTGTAAATCAAGTATTGTGTAAATTCTTATTAACCTCACCACTAACTGATTGGGCGACGTAATGTGGGATGTCATTTAACCTCTGGATCTCAGCTCCCTTATCTATAAAAATGAAAAAATTGAAATAAGTCATCCTGAAAGTCTTCTAGATGTAAAGTTCTATGATTTGGGAAAATCATGAACTCATAAGTAAGAGTTATGCTCAAAGGAAGAAAACTGGTTTTGAGGTTGTATCATGGAATCATGGCATTGTAGAGCAGAGAGGAACTTTAGAGGTGATATAATCCAATTCTATTTCTTTACAAGAAGAAAATGACCAGAGAGGTGATTCCTTGCCCGAGGTCACATAGACAATTAGTGGCAGAGCTGGATGATACCAATCTTTTTTTTTCCTTCCTCCCTTTCTCCCTTCCTCCCTTTCTTCCTCCTTTCCTCTCTGTCTCCTTCCCTCCCTCCCTTCCTTCTTTCCTTCCTTCCTAATAGAGATAATGGGGCTCAGCAAATTCTCAGCCTACTTCTGGCGACATGTGAGTTTTGGCCCCTTATAAAAGTCACCTAGAACCAAAGATTCCTGTTTGGCGCATGACCTTTAGCAAAGGGTCAGAGTACATATGTCATCAAAAGTGGCCTGAGTGTATGCTCTGCCCTATCACACCATTAATTCCTTCCTTCTTCCTCTCCCCCTCCTTCCCTTCCTTTTCTTTCTTCTTCTTCTTCTTCTTCTTCTTCTTCTTCTTCTTCTTCTTCTT